TATTATGACACACGACTGCCGACAAATGATCGTTCAAGAACGTCGGGTCGGGCGAAAATAGTCGGTTGCGATTTCGATCGGTCCCGACAAAAATCGAGCCTGTGGACAGGCTTTCAATAGGAGCACACGCGCGCGATCTTGATCGGGCGATTCAAATCGCACCGATCTTGGTCGTTCCGATGCGGTGGACATCCGGCCTTAATGAGACCGACTGCGTTCTCCACTTCAATCAAAATTGTATGTCATGGACTCATCTCGGGACCCCCATGACACTGAAACGGAAACAAAATGGAACTCCTACTAATAATAAATATCAGTCTATCCGTCTGTTCCTCGTCTAACAAAAGGAGACAGGCGATGTCAAACGTTCGCAAATCGATTTCTACGAGTTCGAGGATCAGTGCTATTGAATATGGGCCGGATTAAAAGTCTGGTATCCGAATGCGAGCAGAGTGGCAAAAAAATTCTCAAACTGAAAATCGTATGCGATTCTTCGTATCTTGTTCTCCTTTCCATCAATTACTTCATTACAAGGCTCTGGCTGAACTTTAAGAAACCGAGTAATAAACACTTGAAATTTTTTACAGCTTTTAAAGAGATAACTATAGTTTTTTCCTCGGGTTTTTTTCTACTTATAGGTTCTAGGTTTCCCATTACTGACGCTTATAATGATCTACCCGTCTGTCTGCATAGCATTTTAATGTAACCAAAACTATAAATGACCTACTATTTCAACAAAACCTGATTTCTCCACTCATGCGTACATTCCTAACTTTAGATTGGAACCAATTATTCGAACTGCGACGTCTGCCTGTCCGTCCTGATTATTATCCGTCCGTCTCTCACTGTCGGTTCGGCTGTGAATATTGTTCTATACTTAAATGGAAGGAAAATCCGTACATAGCAATTATTGCAAGTGTTCGATTCGGCAATTATAGGAAAGGTTATTCCAATAGTTAATTCGGAAGAATAATTTACACACTCATGTTCGCCTTTATGTACCTACCGATTGAGTATTTGGATTATCTTTACACAAGCATCAAAATTCTCGTGAACCGATATATTTTAATTGCAGGCATTTAGGCAAAACACCTATTGTCATAATTGTCGAAACTTCAAATATAAAATTGGTATAAGTAATTACCCAAAATTAAGCAATATGTAACGTTACGATATAATTATCCATTCACATTGACTTAAATTTAATGGTTTATGAGGTCTGCTATTAAATTTAAATTAAAGATTAATAATTGTGCATGTTTAAGCGGCGCACTTGATCGGTTTAGTCAATGGGGAAACCTGCTCAGAAATCTTTTTAAATTTGTTGACAACGCGTTGGCATAATCAGTAATGATATGATTAAAGATAAAAGTGAGTCATAGTAACAATACCACATGTAAAAAAGATTGTTATTGTTACCTCGTGTGTAAAAATACAGTGCGGAGCTTTGTTTCCCGCCTGTTGAACGTAAACTAAAATCGATTAAAAAGTTCCTTAAAATGTTAATTGGGGTTTACTATGGGAAATTTGGGAAAGAATGGGAAGTGTAGTAGCGAAATCGGTATACCTAGATACATAATAATCCACTTGCTGCTTACGAAGCCCTTAAATTCCTTATTCCGACGGCATTTAGTCAATTACTTTTTAACAACACCGCACAAGAACAATCCTCATCGGCACCAAAAACAACAACAATCACAAACAAAAGTGAACACACAACACGGCCGTCGGCGTCGCGTCAATTGTTGTAAACAAACTGCGGTTTAAACATAATGGCAACAAAAATACGCGGCGGCGTCCGGCTCTGATCGTCCACTGTGCAGTCCGGTCTAACGTCCACTACTGTTTCACTGTTCACTTTATAACTTGGATCAATAGCATCAGTTCGTAACGTAAATTTCTTAAAACAATAATTCATATTTATTATTTTTTCCCATTCAAAATTCATCATCAACCGAAACGCGCCGTCGTCGTAAGTCGTCAGAGCTTCGTAGTAGCAAGCATGACAAGTATGTAAAGTATTGGAGGAATTGTGGACACATTGTTGGCATTCTAACGGATATTTAGCCTAAAACACTAGATAAACTGTATGAAAACTGTTCCGAAACAAGTTCGTACTTACCCAAAATGAAGATTCACGCCTTGTCGGCAAGTTTGCAGATAATTAGAGCGGATTTTCGTACGTAAATATGAGGAGTTGGTCTGTTATTGGTATGCTAGGAATGGTACAAAGAATCTAGACAACGCAACAACTACCGCGCACCCGAAGCGCGCATGGTAAGCACTCCCAAAGCCAGTTTTCTACCTCACCTATCTCCTTCACACCCGGGAAAAAATTCAAACATCTACGTAGTCGCCATCTGACAACTGAACGCGCAAACGTAAAAAAATAGGAAACGATAATCGCTGAAGTTCATCTCTCGCATTTTCTGTTCTCCTAATCAAAATCTGTCGTCTGCGACTTTAATGCGATATTCTGGGAATATATGAGCCATAAAAGCACCATCAAACTTTTACTACACTTGCCTGGGGCCTTTGATGCGCCTTTCCGCCCGATAGAAACGAGCCACTCTCATTTGTAATGCCATTCATTTCAAGGGAAAATTACAAATCGGCCTTATACTTAGAATATTTTTAATGATTAGGTAGGTGTATGATTTGCCAACTTCATACATTTTTATGTTACTTTTTTACACCAATCATCTCCAAATATTAGAGAAAGCACAGGTTTCTAAATACATTGTTCAACTCAAATACAAATTGCTTTTTGCTTTCCTCACTAGAGAGGAAAATCGCATTTTCTTCGCCCTTTTTAAAGACGAAAGTAATTGTTTCTAAAGTAGTTTCAGAAAATAATTTTTGATGATGTGACGATAATACTATACGATCAAAAGTGTTGGTATCGACTGTCGAGTCGCCTTTGGAATTTTTGTTTATAGGTATGGGAATATTTAACTTGAACTTCCAAAGGCAACTCGCCCGCTCGAACCCGCTTCAAAAAAGTCCGCCGCCAGTTCATTGATGAAGCGAAGCGTTGGCTACCCAAGCTTTAATTGTTCTGGGAACGTGGATATTACTCGTGTGAGATCAGCGGCTGTTGCAACTTACAGGAGATCCCAGCCAAATTTGGCCATAAAATCCGTGTTTCGGCGAGAGCCGTTCAAGCGCGCATAGTCAACCTTATACCTTTGATGGTCAGTCTACCTCTTCGGAGTTTTTTGATGGCTCGTCTAAGTTTCTCTCTAGGTCTTGTAATGACGTTCCAATTTAATGGTGGTCCTTCTAGGAATAAACTTGGTAAGCAGGGCGCCTTTAGGGTCCCAAATCACCAATTACAGCATTTCCATGGCGCATTGGCTGTTAGGCTGGCACTGAGCGCCGCAGCGAGTTCAACCCAGGGGCGTCATTTCACCTTAACATTAGGGGGGGAGGGGGGCTAAGCGATGCGATTACATGAAAGTTTTGACTACTAGTGTATGTACCGTATGTCCTATTTCGGTTGAGACTGCCAGCTATTTTTAATGATAGACTTGTGGTTTTCGCCACCCTGTGCCACTTTTTTATAAAACTTTTAATACCACAAACAGAATCATTCTGAGATACAGGGTGAAAACGGAAAGTTTGAATTTTTGGGGATGTTATCATATTTTACCACCCATGTAAGATAGAAAAAGGGGGTAAAAAATGTTTATTTTAGTTTTTGCAGTGTTTAAATGGTAGGCTATGGATTTATGGAGATTTTGTTTTGTTTATTGTATCCATGGAAGCCGATGCCAATCAATAAAAACGGCAGGTTGTAGCAACATGCCATTTCAAAATATTGAAAAATATAATAAGATATATAATTATGTGTAGGTACACAAAAATATAGGTATAGTGATACATCAATGTAATCAGGAAAACGAATATAAAACATTGTCGTCAAAGGCACTGAATTCTGCATAAAAATATCTAACACAAACAGTTGTTGCTTTTTTTCTATTACATGGGTATAGTAAGATGATATAACATCCCAAATAGTCAAAGTTTTTGTTTTTACCCTGTGTATCTCAGAAACAAGCATTGGTTCTGTTTATATAGCTAGTATTAAGTTTCACAAAAAAGTGGCACAGGGTCGCGAAAACCGCAATTCTTTTACTACAGGTACCCGAGTGTTTTGATTATTTTTTGGAATACTTTAGGATCACGGGGGGCACGGCCCTTTCCAGCACCCCTCAAATGGCGCTCCTTGGTCCTATGGCTTCTACCAAGGCAGGTACAAACATGGGGGAATTAGGATTCTTACATGTTTGTAATTTTGTATATTATTTATACATTTTTCTAATTCCTCAGTTCCTTCCGATTCCTCAAATTTTACCGTTTCTGAGGACTTAGATTTAATTTTTGGGATTCTTCTCATTGTTCTGAAGTTTCAGATTCTCAGGGGCTTTTGCCGATTCCTGCGATTCTTCCGTTGCTTTGGATCTTACAAATTCTACCGAATACTTTTCCCCATTTTTAGTCTTTTTAAGCTCTTCAAATTCCTTAGATTTATAAGGTTCTTCGGATTACATCCATCGAAAAACGACTATCATAGAGAAAATCTTATTTTTTAAGTGTACTGGGTTCACACCCGTAGGAGGCTGACTGAGCTGAGCCCTCTATGCCTGAGCCGTGTCCCGTATGCAATTCTTCGCGCATACTCATTTTTGGTGCAATAAAAGTTTTTTTTGCTCGTAGAATAAAATCCCTTTGCTAAAAGCACCAACATGGAAAATTTTACGTGGCCCTGGAGGGCGAATTCAACATTTAAAAGTACTGAACTTATGAAAATTAGCGCATCGCAACTCATATCACAAATAGATTCTAATTCGAAGCGTTTTTTGTTATCATCAGAGTTTCGCCCCTGAGACAGGTAACAATAGGTCCTCATGCGGGACAGTTTCAATACTAATCAATGAAACTTTCCATAATTTTTTAAGAACTCAATCTAGCTAAACTCCATTAGTAATTACAAAATGAACACTGAACATTTTATTGCATAACAGTTATGTAAACTAACATTTAACATGTTGTCTACCTACTCACAATTTTGCAAAAATATAATCCTACTAGGATGGATAATTTCTCTACAAATAGGACAAAATTGTTGGTAATTTAAGCTTTCATAAATACACTTCCAACAAAATAAGTGACCACAGGATGTAGCACACGTATCTTTCCGGGGTTCTGTACATAAGCTGCATAGTGTGCTGCTGCTACTGTAGTTGCTTATCGCAGTCTCTTCCACCTCATCTTTAGACAAATACATTCCACGTATCAAAGCATACACTAAATATGCTAGAGACACTTTTCCTAGTATATTAAAACTGAGGGTAGAAGAATCGTCTTGTAGCCACTGTCGTAACAAAATCTGCAATTTTAACATTACTTTTGCTTCTATACAACAGAAAACTTACATATTTGATTCCCCAAATTCGATTTGAAAGATTGTAGTACTTGCCATATATATAAAATAGGGAATAGTGTAATCGTAACAATAACAATTTATTCTCTTTGAAAAATGTTATTACACGTATCAACTTAAGTCGTGCATGGTTAGTTAGGGTTTCAGAATTATTTATATTTGTTTTTAGTTTATCTAGAAATCGGTTATATAATGATTCGCCACCTATATAAAACAGTATCCAAAGAACTTGTACCTTAAAAAGCAACGCTAATGATAAAAACAGCACAAATCACTCACAAATTTTGATGGAATGTTATTTTTATCCGTAAATCTTATAACTCCAGTGTACTCTTCACCTAAGGTTTGTAATTTGTTCAACGAAGTGAAATAGTAATACCAGATGTTAGTAATTGCAGGTACAGTATTTTTGAGATGATTATAGTTTTTGAAACCAAGTAATTTGAAAATTGAAAGAACATCTTCTTCGCAACTTTTTACAAAGGAGTCATCTCTTTGTGCACATCTTAGGATATCAGCTACCTTGGCGTCGTACAAGTGCATTTTTTTTTATTTGTTTGAACCCACATAAATAAATTTTAGTTTATGTTTTTAACCTCTACAGTTTGAATGCTGCAATTTACAATAAAAAAGAGGTTATGATGAAGATCAAATGGTAATAAAATGTATAGGGTGTTCCGTAATCTCGAATCTACTTACTCCACCAAATCACCACAGGGTGTCGAGATTTTAATTAGTAGATGGCAGATGGCACACAGTCAAGAACGTATGCGCAGTAATAATTAAAATACTCAGATTAATATTAACTTATTTTAATTTTTTACTGAAAGACCAGTACCTACTGGTGGTGTTAGTTGAATAATTTCTGTTTGCACATGGTCAGATGGTCCGTATGTAAAAAAAAAAATTGACTGATCTGATCGAGGGGATCAAGACAAGCATATTTTCCAAATAAACGTGTTTCGTTTGGGGGCCATCCCCAAAGAAGTGGTGAAATATGGACTTCTTCTTTAATTTTGTTCTCAGCAGCCACAAGAGTTACAAAGATGGGTGCACGTCTTTGAATAGGTTTTCGGGTATGCCCTCTCCGATTTTGAAATTTTTTTTCAAAATTCCGACCACGAAAGGGCGCACCCCTGCTTGGGGGTGCGAAAAAAATTCTGATTTCGAAATTTGGTATCTAGGGGTTTCTGAACATGAAAATGACGAATCTGGAATTAGTTTTTTAAAAAATTCGAAAAAAAAGTTTCACTGCAATTCTTGGCCGGACAACGAAAATGGAGAGAATTCCACGACTTTTGTTGTATACACTGTACATACTTGATTAGTTAAGGAACAACATTGTAGAACAGTTTTTTTTTAATCCCTTTCAAACAAATGTTATACTCATTTGAAGATTGAGCTTTCGGGTTACAAAGTGTCCCTCGCCTACTGGTGAGTGATCTAATTTCGCATGTAGTTAATTGAAAATGTTGCAAATAACAAAAAAATAACGTTTTAAGAATTAAATTTGCCGAACGTTGTAGAAAATGTCCCACTCCACATTTCTATGGTGGCTCAAAGAGGTGTTTGATTTTTATCGTCAGCTCTAGGTGTAATTCGTTTAATCCTATAATAAAGGTTGGGACATCGCTTGTATTTGCTCAAATCAATTAGTCGTGGTAACAATTCTACTTCCTTTTGCTATTTGTTCTGGTTGAGCCTCAAGCTAGAGATGAAGCCTGTTACTATCGTTCATATGTTTGCTCAGTGAAATACTACAAATGTAAGAATGATTATATCACTCTTTCATTTTGCATTGGAATTTACAGCAGTCGCAACTGTAACATCTTGATCTCATTAATTTCGAAACACCTTGTACAAAACTTTTGTGGCTAATCTTGGCAACAGCGTAATTATTTCCTGTATGACATTGCGATGTTTGCATATGTCAAATTTTAAAAAAATGACAACCGGGAAGGTGTGCAACGTCTACAACCGAAGAATCATTGGTTTGCAGTGATTTTTTAAAAATTAGAAATTATTTTGAATCTACTATTTTAAGTTATTACTTAGTTTATACGTATAAAGCTTTACCCTGAAGCTTAGCAGGTACATATATATTTTTTAACTGATTATCTACTTGGTTTTTCACTTTTTAGAAAGTATTCAATAGTCAAGGTATTTGTAGGTAACGCACATATACAGTCCCACTTTCAATAAAATGAAAAAAGCAGGTTTGTTGTATTATTTGTTTATGATGATGACAATTAACTTAATATCTTTTTTTAGGTTTAGAATCGAACCATGCACAAACTTTAAAATATGTAAGTCTTGTGACATTAACAGTACAGAATGCTCTTCTTGGTCTTAGCATGCGACATGCTCGCACCAGAAATGGTGACATGTTCTTATCTTCCACAGGTAAATGTATTTTTATTAATGCTCACTTATTTATATAAGAGTAAGGAAAATCACATGTTACTCATATTGAACTTTATTTTCTGAGTCAAGTGGTGTCATTTTACTGACAAGTTTTGTATAATAAAAAATATTTCCTCAATACTGCGGGTATGCTATGCTTACTGTAGTATATTTAGGAAGATGTAATAACACATCACAATTTATACCTTATGTGAGTAATTATTTTAAACGATTTATAGCCATTTGCACAGACAAATTTAAGATGATCTTAGCTTAAAATCTATGGCAACGATTATAGCGACAATGGTTGTCATGGATTTTAAGCTAAGCTCAGCTTAAGTTTATCTGTCAGGTCATTAGAGTAGGCGGAACATTCTATATAGTTTTATGCAGATGGCTTTAAAATAAAAATTTTGTTTTCAAGAAAGTTATGGCCATTTGCACTGACAAATTTAAGTGGAGCTTAGCTTAAGCGTAGCTTAAAATCCATGGCAACGATTATTGAGACAATGGTTCCCATGGATTTTAAGCTAAGCTCTACTTAAATTTGTCGGTGCAAACAGGCATAAGTGGTTTACCTATTACATTTTCTAAGTAATAGTATAACTTTATGGTACATTTTGGTTAATACACATTTAGAGGTAATAAAATTTTTATATAGTTAAACATAGGTAAAGGACAAATGTTATCGTGTTCTTGTTTGTGAAGTGTGCCTAATCTTAAATTGTTGTTTTAAGTAATATATTTTTAATGTTTTAAATATTATGCAACATTCAAATAATGTTTGATTAATTACAAAATTTGGAGTTGTAAAAACATAAGAGGTGTAACCAAGGTGTGTCCTGGTGTAGTGGTACCACATATACACAAATACTCCATAAGTATTCTAATTTATTTCCATGTTTTTATTTAATACATGCCTTGCTACACCAAGGAACGATAACAAAGTTAGATTGTTTTGTAATTCCTATTTTTTCTATGGTGAAACCACACCATATAAACCAATTAGTTGCAGTGATGGTTTGGGCCATTCATACCTGTCCAATTAAAATTTCTGACGGTTGATAATTTAAATACTATTGGTTGCTCATAATGTATGTGTACAGATTGTCCCATTTTTGTTAGTTGGCCATGACTCATTCTTCAGTGTTCAATTGTTTTTTTTCACTGAGCCATGGTCAACTTTTAAAACATTTTTACAATAGAAAAATATTAAATAGCCAATATTTTGAAATTTTCAGTATAATTGAAACATTTTTTAGATGGATTCTTCTTACGGACATTAGTATATAGTTAAATTTTAAAAATATTCCAAGGTCTCTTTTTCGAGTATAGCCTGGCATTCATCGTGAGACCTACAAAACGCTAACATTTACTTGTGGTAGTAGGCTTAAGAAAACATAATAACCTGATGGTATGTTTCCCAGGTTATTTTGCCCCATTTAATTAATATTAACAATTTTGAAATTGTTTTTTTTTTAAATTAAATACTTGATTTACAAGAAACACCTTTTTTTCGACTTTTAAAATTTTGTTTTTTCCAAATGATTCATTAAAAGATCTCTAGTTTATTTTCTACGACATGTCTCTATACCTAGTACGTAATTTAAAAAAATAATTTTCTAAAATTCGTGGGTCATTGTGTAAGAGAAACTGATGAGAACTGTTACATGAGAATGTTCAAAGTCATTATTGGTTTTAATCATGATTTTCATAGGAAAAAAAAGCATCAGTAATATCAATATATATTTGTGAAATGTGAGTGAATTTTTCCAGAAATACCCATACTATAGATCCGCGTATAGATCTATTCCAAATCCTTTCAACAATTTTTTACAATTTGTTTAACCCTATTCGATTAACTGGAAAATTTGCAGAATCAAAGTTGAAAAGGTTTCTCCTTTTAAGGTAGCAAAATAATTTCTTATCTTTAAAAATTCGCCCTGCCATAATGTCTAAAGCCATTGCACTTAGTATTAAGTAAATTAATCAATGACGTAACGCAATTGGACGTCTACTAGGGTGGTATAGCACTGATGTCAAATCACCGTCCCAATGCTCAAATTTGAAACACGAAAATCACCAATCCAAAATTAGGACAAAATGGTTTTTCTCATTCATATATTATTCGCTCACATCTACTTTTTCTGTACTTAGTAGCTTAGAATGGCGTTTAAATAACAATTTTGTTTCTAGCGGTATTAATGGCAGAGCTAGTAAAATTGGTCTCATGTCTTTCGATAATTTATGTGCAATCAGGTGGGATACTGCAACTGTTCCAAGAAGTACACAAAAACATAATAAAGCAGCCGTTGGATACATTGAAAGTTTGTGTTCCGTCCTTTGTATATGTTTTACAAAATAATTTATTGTATATATCGGCATCTCACTTGGATGCGGCAACATACCAAGTACGTATAGCATGCAGTACGACTAATTTGCTTAGCAATACATTTTAGGTGACCTATCAATTGAAAATTCTCACCACAGCATTATTCGCTGTAGGCCTTCTGAATAAACGTTTGCTTAAAACACAATGGCTTTCACTGATAACCTTGATTGTGGGTATTGTTTTAGTACAACTTGCAGATTCTAATACTCCTGTAGCTGTAGTCAAAGATCAGAACAGAGTGCTGGGATTTTTGGCAGCCTTAGCGGCGTGCGTTCTTTCCGGTTTTGCAGGTGTTTATTTTGAAAAGATGCTCAAAGGAAGTGATGTGACTGTGTGGATGCGAAATGTACAATTAAGTTTATGCTCAATACCGTTTGGTTTATTAACTTGTTTTGTAAGTGATGGCGCTATTATTAGGGAGCGCGGATTTTTCTTCGGATATGATAGATTTATTCGATATCTCATACTTTTACAAGCAGGTGGAGGTTTGTTAGTTGCAGTCGTGGTGAAATATGCGGACAATATTTTAAAAGGATTTGCGACATCTTTGGCCATAGTAATTAGTTGTATTGCGTCAATATATTTATTTAATTTTGTTTTAACATTTCAATTCTTTCTGGGTGCCATATTTGTAATATTCTCCATATTCTTATATGGATATGTTCCAGAAAAATCGGTTATCACGGAATAACATGGTTTAGAAGAATTTTTAATATTCTCATAAACATAGTATTTTTATAACATAATGCTTTAATGTACTTAAAATTTGTTAACTATACATATATTTTTTATTAAATTATATTTTTATGAACTTTTTGTGATTTAGGAGGTGTAGGAGCAAAAGACTATAGAAGCAGTCACAATTGGTATGTTGAGAAAGTATTCCAAATTTTCGTTCCCAACTACGGACCAACAGCAAAGTGGTGGTGACTGTTAGCCGATCATGTTATATTAAAAATATATAATTTCCTTGTTCCCTCTAAAAGATTTTGTTTGGTTTTAAATGGTAAGTCTTGAGACCATTTACGGATTAGATAGCTGTGTGCCGCACCCTGTATTAAAAAAAATTGCTCCATCATTTCTATAGGGGCCTTTCACATCATAAACTGGGATTTTTTTAATATGGGTATTTTCGAATTTCTGGGAGTTTAATGTAGGTACCATAGAATTAATTATTATTAATATTTGCTAAGGACGGTTCTGAGTATTGCATTTGATTTTCTATGACCAAAGAAAGTAGAACTATTAGGAATTTTCTTAATTTCGCTATAGCATTTTTTCCTGCCAACAATTACAATAAAAACGTTTATTCAAAAACAATTTACATAACTTAATAAAACTGTAAAGTATAAACATAAAAAAAACAGTAAACAGAATGGAATTATATGAAGTCACTCGTATACTCGCTCGTATAATACTACCTAACCATTTTGCTGCTGACAATATTTAATATGCAAAGCAAAGATCTTTATCATATCCCAATCTATCTAAGGCAGGGGTACAGGCAAAATTAATCATAGGAGGTGGGCCACACATTACTATTAAAGTATCAGACGCAGGTGGGAAGAGGTGATCTTGAATCATTTTGTCGTTAACAAATCCTTTGCTGTACTTCCAATCCTCAGGGGTTGTATCCAAAGTATACCACAGCTTAAATTGATCTGGATGGTTTTCTGCAACTTCCTCCAGTTCTTTTCTCACTAAAATGTCCTTTTCTGATTGGTTAGCAAATAACAAAGATAACTTGGTTGTATCTTGCGGATCTTTAACGATGTGACGAATCAACTGCAGCATTGGAGTGATTCCGGTGCCACCTGCTATCATTCCAACTTTCGATACGGTAATCGTTTGTGGTGGGTCTTTGCGAAGCTTTTTCACCGAGAATTTACCATTTCCTAGATAATTTAGTCGTCCAGAAGGGCCACGGATGTCTATTGTGTCGCCAATCTTTAAACTTTCCAAATGTTGAGACATTTTCCCACCTTCGGGAAACTTGGGATGAACATTCTTGAAGTAAACCTTTATAACTAAATCAACGTAACCGCGATCTTCATTGGACGATACTGGCGTGTACGAGCGAATGATTAAGTCATCTCCAATTTTTGCTGATAAATGGATGTGTTGGCCGACAGGGAGGCCTACCGACAAAAAGTGTTATTAATAAATCGCTACAATATCCTCTAACATACCAAGAATATGACCTTTACTGGGCAGTTTAAACCGAAATCTCCTAGTATCGTGACTAATCTCCTCTTTTTCTACTAGAGGTAGTGCATATTTCACCTGGGGATCTTGCAATGTGACCAATTCATTACTTTGCTCTACAAAACATTTGTTACTATTGTGACCTGAGGTTTTTGAACAAATACTTTTCGATTCCTTTTCTTTGGAACTCTTTCCATTGGAAAAATAGAGCCTGTATATAACAATCGATGTTATAACAACTCCGACACCAATGGCAATCGGCACAACCTAGAGAGAAAAAAAAAATTAGATTACTACATCAAAGATTAGAACATTATTGTTGGACGACACATCAACATCTACTTTTACCTACAAGGAAAGAAGAAACCCAGGCCGTAAGTAAATCATTGAACATCACAAAAATGTGTTCAAGGTATCATGAACCATTATTTACCACATTATATATTTATACAGGCACAATGGTAAAGATAAAACAAATCAAAATTAACTCGGTTCAATGTACAATCACTTCCACAAATACACGTTCTCTCACATTTATTCCAAAACAACTGGGACAAACCATAATAGATACAAAAAATGTATAGAAGATAAACTGTAGAGAACTAAATTTCCTAGAAAAAAGCCAGTGAGAGCGTATTTCTAATATCTTCAATCGTTTTTGAGAAACATGTAAACACTTGTGTGTTTTTTTCTGAAGGGAAAGAACCAAATGTTAGAGTTTTTGGTTGTATAGCAGACAAGCACTATATACATAAACAATTTCAAACCCTACGAATGAGGAATAATTAATTGTGGGATATGTTGAAAACGGGATGTGAGACCCAATAAGTAAGAAATTTAATAACATACAATTTTTAGTAGGAAAATTTTTTGACACTCGGTTCACATTCGGAGATACAACTTTTACTCCTGCTCACATTCAATAGCACTGATTGTTAAACTCAGAAATCGATTGGCGCGGTCTCTTTTCGTTCTTGAGTTAGACGAGGAATAGGTGAACAGACAGACGAATAAAACCATCACATAAAGGGAATTTCTTTCAAAAAAATCCCCTACAAGCAATTAATGGCAAACATAAATGATGATTACAAATGAAGATGGGACTTAGTAACACAATCAAGCAAAGAAGGCAATTGATTGTAAGTGGCTACATATGATAAAGAAACAAGAGCAGGTCAAGTTACGCTATAAAGTGAGACTAGTAGTGAGGGGTCCAAGAATGACAATTGTTGAGTGCATGTAACAACTGTCGAAAAGCGATTTGTTAACTACATTCTTCCTCTTTTAAAATCAAAACAATTTAAATATATGATTTCATGGAGTGTACACCGGATTATATTAAGTCTACATGCAGGGGTTTTGGGGCGATTTTCTAAATTTTAGCCTCGGTTACAGCTATGTAATTGCTAATAATCAATAACCATGGATACATATTTTAAAACAATTTCTAGTTACTTCAAACTCAATTGTTTTTTATCTATAATTGCATGGTGCACTCAACTTGAAATCTTCAATGAACTCCTTGTCCTGGTATCAATTTAGAATTTCAGGGTCTTATTAATCATTAATTAATGTACTCTAATTCTATGCTTAAGGCATTGCTACGATAATTGATTGGAATGGGATACATACAACCACTGGGAATGTAGTTGCGAGATTACGAGATAACCTTTAGAGGCCATGGATAATTGTTCAACAAGATCATATTAGAACCGAAAACTATATTCAAGGTTAGGACAATGACATTAAAAAGGGAACACCCCAATCAAAGTAACAAAATCACCAATTACAAGTACATATCTACATGCTATAAATACATTACAATAATTGTTTAGCCATTGGTCTGTTAATGAGTAATTACCTATGAATATACATGCTGTGACCTAAATTTTAAATTACATAACCCAACCTATTATCACTAAAACAATGATTTTTACCTGTATTTCTTGTTTGGTTTTTACGTTTTCCATTCTTTAAACATAGGATATAAATGCAACTACATATAATAAATGCACTTCACTTACTCACTCTATGGTCTTAGTTTATCTCGAATTTTATTCTCTACATACTGCTTATAAATTAAATACTCACAGTACTTATGACGTTGCTCATATTTTATCTTTCGCCAACGGTATAATTTAACTGGTTATATAATTATTAAGTATACTACACTCCAAAAGTTCAAAGCCAAACAAATGGTTTTCACTTTTCATAAGCTTTACGTGACCTACCGTAATTCTATTTTTATGGTATTTGCGCTTACCTACAGAGCAGTAATTTTCTGCATTTCTTTTAAGTTGTTAGCATTGCTTGAATTCAAATTTGTGGAAATGAGTTAGATTTATTTATAGTTTAGCCATGCATTTAAATAGGCATATATTTATTATTTCTTTCTGAAACTACTTTAGAAACAACAACTTTCGTCTCTAAAAAGGGCAAAGAAGATGTGATTTTCCTCTCTATAAGTGAGGAAAGTAAAAAATTATCAAAGTCCTCGTGTGAGATCGAAGGGACTTCAGCGCATTTTTGTGTGGCAGATCAGTATTCTATTAGCCACTTTTTACTCAACCATGAATAAAAGATCTTGTCGAAGGATACCACATTCCCTTTGACGGTACCCACTTCCGATGTCCCGTTCATCCGCAATTCGCGTTTGAAGATTTAAATCCACCATCAGTAAGATCGTGTTGGGGGCTACCACATTCCCTTTGACGGTACCCACTTCCGACGTCCCGTTCACCCGCAATTCGCGTTTGAAGATTTTTCTCCACCATCAGTTAGATCTTGTCGGAGGCTACCACATTTCCTTTTTCGGTGCATACTTATATTACACCCACATTTTGGTGGATCTCGCTAAAAACCTTCCACAAGATAGTACTTAATTTTTGGGGGCACTTCTCATTGCTCGAGCTTCTATTGGCGACACGAGAAAGAGAGACAGCCATTCGAGATTTACGAAACGTTAAAACGCGTGACAGAATTCGCAACGGAAGGTAAAAGGTGCCCGAAGTTGACTACCTCTCGAAGACGCGCGCGCGCGCCTTGCAAAAGGTCGTTAATTTCGCCCCTAGGCCAAAAAACAAAATTCCGCCACGCAGGAGTTGTGCGCGTTTACAACATCTTTCCGACGACACCAATTTGAAAAGAATCGGACCAAAACTGTAGTAGAAGATAGGAAAAAACTGAAAAACCTTCACGTTAGTATACTACGCTCGAGGATGACGCCCAGATGTCGCCAACCCCACATCATGTAGCCCTGTCCCCAAGGTTTACAAATTACACGGCCTGGTAGATACACGTACACCCGTTGCCTTTCTACAAGAGTTCTTCTACGCGCCCACATTTGCTGCCAGCCAGCCAGCCAGCCAGCCAGCCAAAGTGAGATTAAAAGCTACTTTTTACAAATAAATTTGCAAAAATGCGCTAAAAACAACTGATTCGTTACTAATCTTAACGACATTTAAAATTGAAACATGCGCGCGTATAGATTGCTATGTGTTAAACTCGAGGTTAAACTTCATTATTCCATACGATAATTTTTCAATTTTGATTGTATAGTCTCAGAAAAAATTATGTGTACCTAGTTTAGAAGAAAGTGTTTTTCTACTCTCGTTCAATTGACACTCTCGCTACGCTCATGTGTCAAACTTTGAACTCGAGTTAAAAAAAACTCCACTTTCTTCTTTAGTTGTACAAATAACTATTATCTTATTTACTTTTGTAGATCTACTAAACTAAACTCATTTTGTGCCTAATAATAACCATGGCCAAGGTTGGATTCACCTTGATGACCATGACCACTGAGATTGACCAACTTAGTAAAAAGGTTTAATGACAGTAGTACCATACAATTTTATTGTATAGGTACTTATAGTATCAGGTATTAAGAACTTTTATTTAAACGAGAGACGTATATGGTACCCATCTTGTCTGTGGAGGGTGGTTCCTTTCGGCCTCACACTGATCCACAATTTCGCCAAAGCAAAAGCACCTTGATGTTATGCTTACCTTAATGAATAACTACGCGACAGTATATAACCAACCTGAGGTTTTAGTTTACGCAGTAATAGTTATTTATGCAATGAGTGTATAAATGAGGCGTTTTATTGGTGAGTGCATTGAGTTAGAAAATTAATGGAGGGAATCAAATGCTTGGCCAGACGTAGACCACGGGAACCAAAAGTGGCCTCTAGCTGTGATTAAAGTACCACACCACTTCCGTTATCATTAGCGTCTCACTTCAGTGGCGTAGAGATGTAATTTTCTTTCCACTAATAGGAATAATAACAAAAAAACGTATAGAAGGAGTAAAATACATGCTCGTGGTAAAGTAAACAAAATAGACAAGGATGGGAAAGTATGCAGATTTAATATAATCATTGATTACAAATCTAAATATACATCGATGTGTTCCAGTAGTATAATTAAGGCCAGTTTACTATAGCCACTACAACTTGACATCTCCCATTAAATAGCTTCAATGGCTACAATTGACTGGTGGGTCTCAGGTTCATTACAACGGCAGAGAGATTCAATAATAATTTATTGTTTATTGGTCTCAAAATGTACCCGCACTCGTAAAAAAACTTACACCTGATATCCATATTATAAACTCACACGTTTAGCTGCAAAAACAAGTTTTGATAGTATACCTACTGCATATTTGATGAACATTTTCCGCCTTTCCGGTGCAACCTTTGGGCGAAATCACAGTCAACGAAGCGTTGTGAGCACGAAAGCAAATTTCGAGAGCTGTTCTTGAGATATATTTACAAATGTTAGGTAACCATTTTTCTCGAAGTACTGATTCGTTTGGAAAACTAAGAAACATAAACTGAGTACCTACAACCTCGCCTACAACATGATAAATGACATGCGGCAGTTAGTTATTTATATAAACCAGAGCACAAACCGATCCGAAATTATTAGGTATTATAAAATTGCAAATTTAATTAAATTTGAATTTGGTGGAAAACTGACAGTGACAGGATCCGCGTTTTCATATGTCAAATAATGTCGGCCAAAATGTACCTTCACGGGAACCTATCCACGCGAGTGGCCTCTATCTGTGGCAACTTCCAACTTCCGTCTACAAAAAATTCTTACCCCTTCTACCATTATATTCCCTCCATTAGTTTTCTATCTCAATGGGTGAGTGAGATGTTTAGTCCACGAGCGCAGCGAGTGGACTAAATTCGAACGAACCAATAATCGCCGATTTATACATGAATTGCATACAACGTTTTTTCGTCGACTTCACCAGGGTAGGTAATTTTAAATTCAACTACAAGAAATTACAAACGAAATTAGGAGCTCCGACGATTTTTCACTAAATTACAGCTATTGTCGTTGCTATAGTAATGTGTTGTTTTATGCTGTACCGTCAGTCCTCGTAATCGCAGTGGAAGATTATGTTGCTTGCTCTGCTGCGGAGACGATTTTAACATTATATCCACTCAAATCAAAAGAAACTTATTGGAACGGTTTCGATCAGTTCGGCAATTGATGGAATACAATGAATTTGAAAGGAGATATTTCCGAAAATGTCACGTTGACATTTTACCTTGAAAAGGTATGTGAAATTAGAATGTAATTAATTCTTTTGCAACTGTACTAAAGTACGTGTATTAACAGTGAAAGATATGGAAATGTTCATCCCTGTGGTCGACGTACTCAATGTTGAAGGTAAAGTAACTGAATACCTTAACAATACCTTATCCGAGGAGCTACACATACATACATCAGGATATGCTTTGCTGAGATCGTTTGGCGACCATACTGGCTGCTGATCTCACTACATTAAAACCGAGATTAAAATGGTTAGGTGGATGGAAGTTCTCAGCTGTTGCCGAAAGTGAATTGTTATATAATTGTCATTTCCCTTTAATAAAATGGTTGTTATGTATAAGTGGTTGCTAACGATTAATGGTTGCTAACGTATAATGGTTGGTTGCTAACCATTAATGGTTGCTAACGATTAATAAGCTTCATCATTGTACTCGTCACTAAGGAGTAATTTATATTGTTATCGAGAGGTCGACGAAAAACAAAATTAACAGTACATTGTACATGGAAGATACAATTCGTCAGATCAGATGCTGGCTGTGCAGTCCAGGAAACGAAACTTAAAACAGTATAAAACCTGGTAAATGACTGTGGGTACTACGAAAACTGAATTTTTTACAACACACCCATAATCATAATTAATTATTAACAACAATTCTTAAAGTTCTCAACATTCTGTAGATTGATCAATTCTAAACATTTTACGAAGACCGTAGGGAAATTTAAGAGGATTTTTAGAAAATTATACTTTGACGTATGACATATCATGTCCGAAACATTTCTGAAGTACTGGGGACAGGGAATTTCGTTGATCATCTGGTACAAATACGTGGGTTTATACCATATATGTATTATGTACATATATGTTTATAGGTTAAAATGTTCACCCTGTATACAAGAACTCTAGGATTCTGTTGCTGCGGAGACACAAAGGGTGACCAATCAAATAACTGTCAAAAACCGTGCGTTTGCGTTTTTGACAACATTACAACCAAACAAATTTTCTTCCAATATCCTGATCCTGAATTTAAAACGAAATTAGTAAATAATGGCTCGAGGAAGTAGTGCTGGTTTCGATCGTCACATTACAATTTTTTCTCCGGAAGGCCGTTTGTATCAAGTGGAATATGCTTTCAAAGCAATTAATCAAGCCGGTCTAACCTCAGTTGCTATCAAAGGAGTCGATACAGCCGTTTGTGTAACGCAAAGAAAAATTCCGGATAAACTGATTGATGGAGACACAATTACTCACTTGTTTCAGCTTACCGATTCAAGTGGCTGCGTAATGACTGGTATGGTAGCCGATAGCAAGTCTCAGGTACAAAGAGCACGTTACGAGGCAGCACAATTTAAGTATAAATTTGGTTACGAAATGCCGATAGATACACTATGCAGACGTATCGCCGATATATCGCAAGTGTATACACAAAATGCGGAAATGAGACCATTAGGTTGTTCAATGATTTTAATTGGATATGATAGCGAGTTTGGTCCCTGTGTTTACAAAACGGATCCTGCCGGTTACTATTGCGGTTATCGTGGAGTGAGTGTAGGTGCTAAACACACCGAAGCCAACAGTTACTTAGAGAAAAAGTTGAAAAAGAAACAGGATCTTCAACATGACGATGTTATTCAACTGGCAATTAGTTGTTTGTCCAGTGTTCTATCTGTCGATTTTAAGCCTAGTGAAATTGAGGTTGGAGTTGTATCTGTCAAGGAGCCAAAGTTTAGAAAATTAACTGAAGCCGAATTAGACATTCATTTAACTGCAATTGCAGAGAAGGACTAATCCTCTTTGTTTTTCTGCAATTTATGTCATGTTGTTTATTATCTGAAATATTTTTTAATAAATAATTGCCGCCTTTATTTTGTATGATGATTCAGGAGTTTGTATATTTTCAACTTCTTGTCTTGGAGAGAATGCCACACATTACAATTTTAAAAGTAAAGTTGTTTTTATTCCATTCACATTTATCACAAATTCACAACATAACCTCAATTCAAACAGATGCAAAAGTTTAGTGTATTTACAAGTTACAACTTAAATATAAATGTGGTAAAACAAGAATGAGTGCCACATTATTAAAAAATTCAGAACTACAATTTGGTGCAACGACTTTCTTTGCAAAGGAACACAAAGGTGAAACCTGCGGTAGTAATGGCCTTCCGTTAACTCCCAATTCTATAATAATATATGGGAAAGCACAAAAATTGAAGCTGTTCAAACATCCAAATTTATGTACCTACCTCGATATTATTCGTGGAAAGCACGGTAAGACTTGCCCTTCTCGTGTAGAAGTGTAATCGAAGTAATATTTTAGAGAGAACTGTGATTGTGTCGCAATATTGTGGGGTCCCATTATCAAATTATTTAAATAAAGAGGAATTTTCGTTTGAAGATATAACAAAAATTGCCTATCAGATATTTTTGGCACTAAATTATATCCATGAAAAAAAAATTGTACATCGTTCCTTAAGTACTGAAAACATATTAGTCCAAGAGAAGAATAATATTAAACTGTTTAATTATGGTTTATTTTATATGACCGATAATGGAAAATTGGTTTCATTTCCAATCATGTAAGTATACTTGTTCGCACTTAGGACAAAAAAGTTGGTGATAGTAGGTGTGATATTAATGTATATAATAAGTATATTCTTGATTAATGTTATGGGAATTTTGTGGTGTTTAAAATTAATTAGAGAGAATTGTTAAATAATTATTTTCAATATGAAATTTATAATACATACCTACATTGTACCTATTATAAAAGAGTTCGTGATATTAAGCATAAATGACATTATGAGTAACGACTCCGTGGCGCAACGGTAGCGCGTCTGACTCCAGATCAGAAGGTTGCGTGTTCAAATCACGTCGGGGTCAACTTTTTTTTTTAAATCCAAACCTTTGGAAAGTGGGTCATCCTGACAATAGGATTTATTAAAATGTGCATTCATTATACTTGGCACCCCCCCCCCCCAGATTTTTCAATCCTCCCTTTTTGCTGTATTAAATAGGCGACCATAATTCGTTCCGCTCATTTTAAAAATATCGCGCCATTTTGACTTAAAAATTTGGTTTGAGTGCCTAAAGGAGATGTTATTCTCAATAGCCGAAATCGGACAATGCCCGAAATTTATCACCATAACGCGTTGTGGGCACTGCGCAAAGTGAGCAAACCAAGTGACCAAGATACCCCCACAATCCGAAACAAGAGCACATGAGTATGGTACTAGTTTTGGGTTGTGGGTACCCACAACGCGTTTTGGTTAAATTTGTTTACCCATTCTTTGGAAACTAGACTCTTATCGCATTGTGGGTAAACTGCACTGCTCACAACGCGTAATGGGTATAAATTTCGAACACTGTCCGATTTCTGCTATTGAGAATAACAGATGCACTGTATGATACTACAGGTACATTTAACTTTATTTTGTCCTATTTAACGCAACAAAATTTTATTCTTCAATAAGTATATACCTAGTTCCTCTGATTCTGAATGCAGGCAATAACTCTTTAATTGCACATCTTTTCTTGTATTTGACTATCGTTGTACCTTCTATAGCTTCGGAGATCCCCACGATAGACATCTTTATCTTGGTCACAGTGTATAATCTTTTTGTATAGATTTATATAATAATAAATTTCCCCTGAAAGGGACGGCATTTTGATTTACTTTTGCTCTATTAGGTACGTATCGTTGTTAATATGGACTCACAAGTCACAAAAATAATGAATCAATAAAAAAAATGAAGAATAAAGTCGTAGTCTAGCATATAGGCTTATGTGAAAGCTTAGTGAAAGTAGATGAAAGAGAGTTTGGTGAAAATATGGAAGTTATTTTTGAATCAGAAGGAAAAGATCTATTAAATTTTTGAAAAATATATAGGGCGTTCTATTACAAATTTGCATTTTTTACTAACTTTACGATGTTAGTTTGTTTTTGACTTTACATTTTCTGGATATTTATGATAAACCCCACAACTTTTGTATTTAAATTTTTTTCTACCTCCTATGCTATATATACATAGTTGCGCTGTCGAAATATACAGAATATCCCTGTATGTACGTGTACTCTACTTTTTTCAATGGTTTATCTCTTGCAAAAGTTACTATAGGACAAACACATCAAAAAATACAAAATTGATTATAAAAACTTGAAACAACATATACAGTGTGTCCCAGGTAGGACGCACCATAGGGAAACGGAAATGTATTTTTTGCAAAGGATCATGAAGCCTTTGAAATGAGCGTTCAACGTACTACTCCACTCTCTTTCTAGCATCAGGCAAGCGCAACGTACGTTGAACGCTAACTTCAAATACATATCAAAGGCCTGCTGAATCCTTCGCGAAAAATACGGTAGATGGTCAATTAGTTGTTTTGCGATTGGTACCTACCTAATCTTATTACAATTTTTTAAAAATAATGCCCATATGTTATCATGAAATAGGGTCTACCAAGTTGCCATTTAAAAAATATCAAATGACCTCTTTTATTATATAGTTCTCAATTCTATTGGTTAACAGTTTTTTTTTCACCCTTGAGTTGTGCTATTTCACGCCTCCGCACTTTGACCCTTGGATCTATTGTGTGTGGCCCATGTGTCTTAGGTACTCCAAAAGCAGTTTGTTGAAGAATCTGAGAATCCTCTCCGGCTGCTACTCCCTAATCTGCTGAGAAGCTAACTACCTCAGTTAGGTCTGGCATCAGTTAAACGCATACATATGGAATTTCCTAAACGCTTCCGTGATAAATGGGATACAAACCAATAATATTTTAATTTCCAGCCAACTCATTTACGCAGCACCAGAAGTTTATTTGGATGGCCCTAATGGAAATCTATCAAATCCAAAAGTGGACGTTTGGTCAGCAGGCATAGTACTAGCCGAATTAGTTCTTAATAAACCTCTATGGCAGTCATTAAAAGTTGGACAACGTATACGTAAGGTTCTAAGCTTAGTACAAGGAAATACTTCAATATTCGAGCGTATTGCCAGGGAGCATAACTGTTATGAGAAGTATCTGGCAAGTAATAAGTGAATGTTTATACTTGAGTTTGGTAATTCGTTTTGTTATAGTCTGTTCCGGATGATTTAAAACAGGTCATTGAGGATTGCCTCAATATTATGCCATGTGATCGTCCGACAGTTGACACAGTATTAAAAAACGAATTGTTCGCGCACTTCAAAACTGTAAATCAAACGAACAGGAGCAAAATATGTGAACCATTTGAGCAGTTTACTATCGAAGAATTATATCATTGGTGGCAATTAGCTGGAGGTGATGTACTACTGGAATTAAAAAAACAAGGCTTGATTAGATCCAGCCCGCCCATATTATCTTTACCGCAGTAAGCTTTGTTTTATAACTCTATTGCAACATGTTCCACGAATTTATTGATGATATTATTTAGACTTGCCACACTTTAAAATTTATTTATATAACATGCTTATCAATAATTTGTCATTACAAGAATATTAGAATTATTACTTCAGTTTATAATCTTTCGAATACGTATATTCTTAATTTTGCAGAATGGTGCTTATTGATGGTTCAATATTAGGCCAAGAAAGAAATCCAGCAACATTGTATGATTCTAGGATAATACAAATGCCATTAGAGGGGCTTTATCAGCGTTTTGAACATATACCTCTAAACTGTTACTATCCACTTATACATTCCAAATCGGAGATTCTTTCAAAGGCGGACGATTCATCATATAATGCAGAAAAGTTACCTTTAGTTATAAGGGAAAAAGACCCAGAGCATCAGTTCCACAGAGTTATTTTACTACGGAGATTGTTACATGTAAGAACAAAATACTCCTATCTACTAGAGTTTATTCTTTTTCATTCATAACATAAATTCATTTTACAATTTGAGACTGGGAATTTCAGAAGAGTATGTATTAGTTGCCTATGTTATCTATGTTTGGGTGGGCGTTGCGTCGTTTAATCCTCTTTCTAGACAAAAATCACAATGGTCAAGGGCTTAGTTTTAAAATAATATCTAAATATACAAATATTAAAACATCCCTCCAGTATTAATGCTGCAGTTTTATTATCTTATTTTCAGGGATATCCGTACACAAGAGATCTTATTATTGCTGAATCAATTAAAGATATTCCACCATTATTACGAGGTCAAATTTGGGCAGCTCTGTTAAACGTTAGAGGAGATTATCAGCAAGAGTATATAAAAATAGATAAAGAAACGCCAACTGCAACAGACCGCCAGGTTTTCTCTTGGTCACGGATAAATAGATTAGTTAACAAATCACGTTACAGATTGAAGTAGACATCCCCAGGTGTCATCAATACAACGAGCTGCTTTCTTCTAGTGAGGGACATAGGAAATTGAAACGTATTCTAAAAGCGTGGATATATAAAAATTCGCAGTATGTGTATTGGCAGGGTTTAGATTCATTAACTGCTCCTTTTCTGTTTCTGAATTTCAACGACGAAGGTTTGTTGTTCGATAATGATTGGAGAGATAATGGTTTATTTTAGCGAAAGCATTTGCTTGTCTATCAAATTTTATACCAAAATATTTACACAATTTTTTTCTGAGGGATAACTCTGCTATTATACAGGAGTATTTATCCAAGTTTTCTCAACTAATTGCATTTCAAGATCCGGTTTTAGCCAATCATTTAGAAAGTATCAATTTTATTCCAGAATTATTCGCAATTCCATGGTTTTTAACAATGTTTTCCCGTAAGTATATGCTAAATTTATTGCTGTCTCATTCTAATATGTTTTTAACAGATGTTTTTCCATTGCATAAAATTTTTCATTTATGGGATAAACTCATATTGGGAGACTCGTCATTTCCCTTACATGTAGGATTGTCGATTTTAACTCAGTTGAGGGAAACATTGCTCGCGTCTGGATTTAATGAATGCATATTATTATTTTCTGATTTACCAGAAGTGGATATGGAGCAGTGTGTTAACTTTTCACTTGACACGTATAGTACTACACCGAAAAGTATTACTGCACGTACACAACAAAGTGAAAAATCTCCATATATCGCCACAATGGTAAGTTCAATTATACTTATTTGTTGAAAATACATTAATTCTGCTTAGGATATTCCTGTACAGGATTTAAACAAAGAAAAATTCCCAAGAATAAGTGTAGATGATGTCGTAAGTTTAATACGAGATGACAATGACAGGGCTATAATTGTAGACATACGAAATCCCACACAGTATGTAACACAGGCTACATTTTTACAATAGCAAAATACCCTGTTTTAGTTATGCGAGATCTTCAGTTAAAGGAAGCATAAACATTCCTTGCTCTAGCATTACATTTGGTGAAATAAATATTGAAAATGTTGGAATACATAGTTCATTATTGAAAAAGAATAAAGACAAAATAGTGGTCGTTATTGGATCAGAAGAAGCAAACCTAGATATTGTGAGTCGATTTTCTAATTGCTCTAATAATTTTTTTATTTTTTAGTTTCCCAAATTTTTAATACATTGTCACATTCCAAAGGTATGTGTGTTACATGGTGGATTCAATGTGCTCTTGCCGATTACACCTACCGTTTTAATACAGAATCAAATTTAAAGAAATAATCACTTTTTGGATTAAAGCTATAATCCCCATAGCTCAATTACTGATGGAACAACTTAAAAAATAAGTGGACTATGGGTGTACCTTTTATAGTTGAAAAAAATAATTTTTATCTGTCGAGCTTTTTATTTCAATAGATAAAAATAATTAAGAATTTTCAATACGCAATTTTTTATTAAAAACTCTTTTTCGTAAAGGTAATATTTACAAATTCCATTCTTCTGAGACACAGTTTTGTCTATGATGTGATTGTTTTGCATGTTTTAAAGTAGGTAGGAAGTAGGAGTAGGAGTTTTAACATAGAATTTGGTAATTCTATGAGTTTTAAGCTTAATAAAAAATAACCATGGGTCGATTTTAATGGGACTTGTACCAAATTAAAGCGTGTTCGTTCTGTATTCCTTTGACCTAACAAAAAATGTAATACATCAAGCGGAAAGAAAGATTAATCAAACTAGGACAACAACTAACTACAACTTTAAAAAGGCAGATTTTTACAAAATGTATTTACGATTTCGTGACGCCAACTGGGAATCCCTTACCCAAATCGATTACAAATCTGTAAACGACGCGGTAACTACTTTTTATGAAATTGTATACAAGATTTTTGATGAATGCGTCCCAAAGGTAACTATCAGGATCACAAACAAGTACCCCATTTGGTTTGATTTAGCTATTATCAAGAAAATTAAATTGAAGAATAAACATCGCACACGAGGCAAATCGGAAGAATTTAAGGAAGACCGAAAGGAACTCAAAAAAATGATCCGTGACGCTTATAAGAAATACATTAGGAACATTGAAGTTGACCTCCGGAGTAATTCAAATAAATTCTGGGGCTACGTTAGGTCCTTGACATCAACCAAACAACTGCCGGAAGTTTTCGAGTACAAAACCATCCCGCTGGAAGATCCCAAAAGCATTGCCGACGCGTTTGCATCGTACAAAGAGGAAAACCTGGATCCGAACGATGGGCTTGAGTCGGACTTAGTACAATCCAAATTGCACTTAACGAACATACAGGAAAGTGAGTTACTAGAATCAATCAAAGTCCTAAAACCACGTGCAGCTATAGGGGAAGACGGGATCCCACCATACGTATTGAAAGGATGCGCACACAGCCTGGTAACCCCCCTGTTGCATCTATGCAACTTGGCACTCCGCACCTCCACTTTTCCCTCAGTTTGGAAATCCACTACAATTACCCCGATCCATAAAAGCGGCAGCAAGAAACTAATCGAAAATTACCGCCCAATAGCTATCATCCCTGCAATAGCGAAAATTTTCGAAAAAGTAATCTATAATAAATTTTATTCCCATCTTGGCAGTGTTATTGCAGATCAGCAGCACGGATTCACACCGAAGAAATCAACAAGTACTAACTTAATGCAGTTTACGCATTTCACAGCCGCCGTCCTTGACAAGAGGGCTCAGGTGGACTGTGTATACACCGATTTTGCGAAAGCTTTTGATAAGGTCTCCCATCAGGTCCTGCTTCAGAAACTTCATTTTAATTGTGTCAGTAGCCCAACGGCTAAATTTCTTAAATCATATTTAACATCGCGTAAAACGCGAGTGAAATACAATGGGGTGAACTCAACCGAATTTTACCCCTCTTCAGGGGTACCTCAGGGAACACTACTTGGCCCTTTCCTTTTCCTACTATTTATTAATGACCTACCGCGGGTGATTCAAAACTCCAAAGCACTTCTATTTGCAGACGACCTGAAACTTTTTAATAAAGTGAAATCTCAAACGATTGTTTAAATATTCAAGCAGACATAAATGCAGTGATAAATTGGTGCAATAAAAACAAACTGAAGCTAAACATAGAAAAGTGCAAAGTTGTATCGTACACAAGATCCAACAATTCCACGATTTTTAAATACGAAATAAATGGGCAGGATATCCAAAGAGTCACCTCGGTTAGAGATTTGGGCGTTTTATTCAATAGCAACTTAAATTTTCATCGGCACATTGAATCCCTTATAAATGCGTGCTACAAAGTACTAGGCTTTGTAATTAGGAATACCTACAATTTTACAAGCATTTCCTCAATTATTACCTTATACAATGCGTTCATCAGATCCAAACTCGATTATGCGGCATGTATTTGGACACCCCAAACTTATAAGCACGCAGACATGATAGAGAAAGTTAAAAAAAAATTAGTGCGAATAGTGTATTTTAGGTCGACTCAAAATTTTCCACATTTAATCTCTTACTCCAACCAACTAAAATTTTTAAATAGTGTGCACGGTATTAAAATCTCAAGTTTACAAATCCGACGCGAAGTGATCTGTGCTACCTTTGTGTACAAGATACTGAATAATCACCTAAATGCCCCAGAATTGCTTCAGGAAATTAAACTCAAAGTGCCACATGTTAAATTAAGGAAAAACGATATCATCTTTTTAGTGACCACTCCGTCATCGCCACTATCGAGGAGCCTGTTGGCTTTAAATAAGAAGTGCCGTGAGAGAGACATCGATGTATTTTCACGGCTCTTTGAATGAATTAATTAGTCATATAAGATCGTAATTACTGTGTAGTTTTAGTTTTAAGTACAGCATCCCAGTGCCATGTAATTGGAATAATTGTATTCTGTATGGTATCTGGCTAAACAAATAAATAAATAAAATGTTTTGAGTAAATTGTAATTATCATTACAGTGCGCGAACCATAAAAAGTACCTCTTTTTCGCGGATTTCCGCGTCGCGGTAAACTTTAGAGTCACAAAACGACAAGTTCAAATGCTTTGAAATTTTAGTATGTTATAAATTGAACCTTTCTCAATAAAGCATACCAATTTTTACTGCCAAAGTTTAATTTTTGTAAACACGATCCGATTGCGTAACAGTTGTTTTTCTCCTAAACGGATGGACGCTCGAGCGTTTAATATACAGGGTGTTACGTGACCGTATGTCAAGTCAAGTCAAGTGGTGAAATTTGGATTTCTTCTTTTATTTTTTTCGCAGCAGCCATAAGAGTTACAAAATTAGGTACGTCTTTGAATAGGTTTTCTGGTATGCCTATCCGATTTTGAAAAAAATTTCAAAATTCCAACCACGAAAGGCCGCACCCCTACTAGAGGGCGCGAAAAAAAATTCTGATTTCGACGAAATTTGGTATCTGGGGGTTTTTGAACATGAAAATCACTAATTTTGAATTACGAAATTTGTTGTGTACATACTTGATGAGTTAAGAAACAAAATTGTGTTGTGTAAAATAACTTTTCAAGTTATCGTGCACACGTACAGACAGATTAACAATACAAAATTATAAAAGATCTCGAGGATCGTTAATAAATAATAGTGTGCTTTTTGGAAATATTCTTTTGATAAATATTGCTTGGACACCGTTTGCCTTATACGTTATACCTCTCACAACGGATCCCTGTTATATCTTTGAGGGATAGCTTATATTTATTGCTGGATTTATTGTTACCAGACGCAAATTAACCACGTATGCACAAAATGTATAAACGCACAACCATTTATATTGGTGATTGGAGGCGTCTGTCGGCCCCCAAAGCAATGAAATTTGAGTGAATTTTTGTATTATTTCCGGCTTATAACTTTACAACAGTACTTCCCAGAAGGGAAAGTTGATAATGCACAGTTTGCGCATGCGCACATCTGATTTTTACGATATGCTTGTCTTTACTAGAAGCTTCTGTGGTTAAAATTTCCAAAATATATCTATAAACAAGAAAATTGACATTGCGCATGCGCAAATTAATCGTAAAGATTTTTCACCTGATCCTGTGCTTTAGAACCTGCAGCCGCCAGTGGTATATTCTTTGACCAAACGGAATTAAGTCGATCTTTTGTTAAATAAATTAAATAAATAATCAATGAAATGTACTCATTATTTTACTTCCACATGGAATTATTTTATTATTGCTATATTTATGTTAAGTACATTATTATTCGTCTCCTATACCGACGTATACATGCTGTAGAATATAATCGAAAAATGCGTTTTATCTTATTGCAAACGGTTGTGGTTTTCGGAAATTATTTTTATCTGAGCTTACTCGGTATGCCATAATCATTCTCCTGTTGATTTTTCGCATATATATATATATAAAGGAGATTATTTAAATTTCTTGGACTGATCAAAAGTTTGTCAGTTGTATTAAATATCAGAACCTAGGTATATATTTCATATTCAAACCCATACTTGAAAAGCACTTCTGCCATAATTTCGAAAAAACTGCCTGAACTAAGAAAATTGGCTCTTCTGCGCATACACAGTCCATTTCTTGACGTGTGTTTTCAATTGGAGTTGTAAAAAGCATCCTCAAGTTAAAATTTCAGAACAAAAGGAGTGTACAAATAAAAAAATTGCCTGTGCGTTCACAATCCATTTTTACCACCCCCATCAAATAAGAGGAGAGAATATAACGGCGTCGGAAATAGTATAGCATCATATTACTTCCTTTGCGCTGGTCAGTTATGTCGCCTTGACTTAACATAAAACTTCGTTATATCTAATAAGTATTTCACGAACGATTAGAAAGTTTTTGAATATTGCAATTGAAAAAGGATCGTTAGGTACGCAAATCGATAAGAAAATAAACCCATAAAGAGCGTTTAAAAAAGCGGCCGAGCACCTCGGTGTGACCCCACGGAGTCATTGGGTTTGACTCATTTTCAATTTGCTTGTTACATGTGGTACCTATATATGTTAACTGTGCAAAGTTTGAACTGAATAGCTTTACGCGTTTGCCAGAGGCAGAGAGGCGTGACCCTATGGTGTCATTGGATTTGACCGATTTTCAATAGGCTTATTGCATGTGGCAATTAAGTCAACTGTGCAAAGATTGAACCAAATCGGTCAAAGCGTTTGACAGTCGTCGTTTTCACGGACAGACGGGCACCATCGACTCCCCTATAAAGCGATGCACGCTTTGCTCTGCCGCTTAATAACCGATAAATCGAAATTCAAAGTTTAACGACAAATGATTTTTATTTGTCCAAAGAGCCGAGAGCGACAATCTTTAATATACCTTCGCAATGATAAGGTAAAGTGAATTATTGCACACTTTAAGATCGAAGAGATGAGATTTGTATAATTCTATGCTTTTTTTTTAAATTTGAGTTGTGTCAAGTCAAGTATCATTTTAGTATAGCCACTATTACAGAGATGTCGCTTTAAACAATCAAGAAATCCAATCGTCAAAAGAGAAATCCGAAATTAGTTTTAAATGTTGACATGCGGATAGTAAGAGAAACAATACCTATTTCACATAGACTCCAAATATGCAATAAAAACATCGAGCATCATTAACAACAAATGTTGCTATAGAAACGCCGCTGATTTAAAAATACTTCCAAAATTAATTTTGATCTAGTGATCATGCGCAAACTGTTAATAACCAACTTCCCTGATAGTTACTACCAACTTAAAAGATGATGCCCACTATAATGTAGTGAATAAACAAGTAAAATTACGGAAGTGAAGTTTTGCTTCCGTCTAAAGTCATTGGTTATTGTGTGTAATCAATGCTTCCGTGTATATACTATCTAATAACCAAAATAGAAAAAATAGTTTTTCTATTTCGATGTGGAAACAATACCGAAACCGTACTTGATTGGCCCAGTTTGCGTGCGTTTCTAGACAGAAATGATGCCGAAAGAAATAGAAACGCATTATTTTTTTTATTTTGTTGGATTGGTACCCCTCGCTTTTTTGCTGTCAACGGTATCCGTCAAATCAAAACTAAACATAACCTGTAAAGTTAAATAACGTACGAGGAACTTGACCGATTGTATTAATTCCGATTAATTTTGAATAGGTATATACTCCAAAGGGTAGAACTTTTTTTATTTTTACTTAGCGTAGTAAAATATGCCAGCAGTACATTCTTGCTTACTTTTTGAACTCCCTTCTCGGCCAGCCAGTTTTCAAAAATGTTGTACTCCTCGTACTTTACTTTCGATTTTACAGGCAGTAAATTTAACGTCGCTTCATTGGCAATCTCTTGGATCTCTGGTGGGGTACAAGAGACGTGTTTGTCATCCGTATTCATCATAACTGCCGCAAAATGGAATTATGACCAAATACCTAATTAAAAGTTTGAAGTTTGAAAATACAGGAATCAGGTTAGCCAACGTGAAAATAAATGAATTGTGTCTATTACCAACATACACTGAATGATAGTTTAAAATTACCTAACAACGCCTAAAGGCAATATTTATAATTTGTATAATTTATTATTTAAAATAAAAGTCGAAATAGAAAAAATAGTATAAAGCACACGTGTCATTTGTCTACTTGTCGCACTCGGCTTTTGCCGCATTCGCCGCTACGCGGCTTATGCGGCAAACTACCTCGTGCGACAATCTTCGTCAAATGACACTTGTGCTTTAATATACTAATAAAATACTAAATACATGTTTCATAAGAAGTTTTGATACACTTCTTCTTTAAAAAACTCGCCCCTGCGCGGCTCGTTTAACGCGTGCGATAAAACCCTGTCTTATGATACTTGTATTTTAATGTACTATTATAGTTTCTAAACAACAGCTACAAAATAAAAATATATCTTAAAAAATGCCGTGGATGTTATTTGAAAGATGCAATTTTGTGAATTTCGTATCAAAACTACCGAAACGATAACGCAAACGCAAAATGAAAATGCTAGGAGTTTAAATTTTTTTAAATTTCACCTCCCGCAGTCCATAGACGTGTGAAGTAATGCATAATTTTGCCGCAACCATAGCTTTCCCACCACGCACAACTGTTGACCGCTGATAAAAAGGTGAACGTTTGGCGCAGTGCTGTAATAGAATCTGGGTAGCTGTGAAGGTTATTTTGTGATAAGGATTTTTATAAGGCGGATTTTATTCTTTCCCAATGTCAGAACACGACTTGCAGTGCCCCAAGAAGCCGAAGATGGCCAGCTCTCTAGATCAATTGAAAACTTTTACCACCGTCGTTGCCGATACCGGCGACTTTGAAGGTAATTATATAATTATTTACCTATATATAAAAATTATAAATGGAAAGTTTGATTGTGGCCTGGTACTTTTCCATGCAATTTTTGTGACCGCTAAATTTTCTAACCTTACTTCGACAAGGTCACAACTTAACCCGATTGCCATTTCAAAAAATTACTTCAATTTTCATTTATTCTGTGCGAAGTAGGTACATATTTACTAAAATGCCCCCAGTTCCCAATTGTTTATTACCTAAATTTTAAATTCTCATGGTTAACATAGTATTATACAGGGTGATTAGTATGTATAAGGTACGTTTAATTCATACATGCTCACAAGTGACAATAGGTAGAAGCATTGTTTAAATAATAGAAGTCATTTGCTTTTATCAGAACACATAATGCAAATTTGCAAATACCGTAACATTGCATTTGTTTTTGAAGCTGTTTACTAAATAGCTCGCTAAATAGGTAACAAGTGAGCATCAAAATTTTCGATTTAAGATTTGGCCTTGAAAGAGAGAGATAGACGTTTCGGTCATGTATAATTGTTGTATTTGTCGCGGTGACAAGAGCAGTTTTACTGCACAAGTAAGTAGATCTAAAATATTGACGTGATCTAAAGTTCCAGGGCCTTCTCTGAATTAAAAATGTTGTTGGTCGCTTTATAATACGTAGGTATTAGGCTGCAGTAATTGTTAAACATAAACCTGGTTTTGCTTACATGTTGAAAAGTAACACGCTAGAAATAGGATAAAAATTTTTTTAAATGTGATACTTAGTCTAACCATATAGATAGACATCTATAAACTGTTGTTGCTACAGATACCTGTATAAATAGATAAGAGTAATATAAAATAAATTTTATCAGTAGGTAACTGAGAAAACAAATAATGTTAATACAAACTTTCCAGCAATGAAAAAGTACAAACCCACAGATGCAACAACAAATCCCTCACTCATATTGGCCGCTGCAAATCTACCACAATACAAGGAACTAATTAATAAAGCAGTAAAATATGGCAAAGACACTAAAGGTACATTATCCGAAAAACTTACTGCCTCAATGGATATGTTATGTGTTCTGTTTGGTGTCGAAATACTAAAAATTATTCCTGGTCGAGTATCAACGGAGGTTGATGCAAGGTGAGTAAATAAAGTCATTTGTGCATACTTACTGTAAATCCTTGTACAGATTGTCTTTCAACAAAGAAGCAAGCATTGCAAAGGCTATTCGCATAATACAACTATATAAAGAACATGGAATTGATAAGAAAAGAATCTTAATTAAATTGGCATCAACATGGGAAGGAATACAAGCTGCAAAGTAAGTATATCCATTTCATTGCAATTCTCTATTCTTACTGGTTGTCGTGTAGGGAATTAGAAGAAAAACATGGAATACATTGTAATTTAACGTTACTATTTTCTTATGCACAAGCTATCGCATGTGCAGAGGCAGGTGTCACATTAATTTCACCATTTGTGGGCCGAATACTTGACTGGCACGTGGCTAACACAGACAAAAAATTCTTTTCTGGCGAAGAAGATCCCGGTGTGCTATCAGTTACGAAAATCTACAATTATTACAAAAAATTCAACTACCGAACTGTCGTAATGGGTGCATCTTTTAGAAATATTGGTAAGCAAGGTTTAGTTTTTTTCTATAAACTTGCTGCAAATATCGAGTTTAATTGGATAAGAGTTATCTTCCACACTAAATTATTTCGTTTCCTAACAGCTCATTTGGGATTCATTATCATCAGTTCTTTTCATAAATCATTTATTTTCATAGCAGTAGGCATAGGCTTTACATTAATTGTCTTATATTATTGGTGTTCTGTTTGTATACTATATTGTATTGCTTTTGAATTTGTATTTTCCTATTGGTAATTACTCACTTAAATTTGTAGAGGAAGTTAAAGCATTGGCCGGATGCGATTTACTCACAATTAGCCCGGCATTATTGGGACAGCTCGAAAATTCGGACAAAGTGGTCACAAAACGATTGAGTGTGGACTCCGCAATGGCCTCTGATGTTGAGAAACTGGCGCTTGATGAAAGTAAATTTCGCTGGCTGCATAATGAAGATGTTATGGCTACCGATAAGTTGGCAGATGGAATTCGAAAGTTTGCCGCGGACGCGGTTAAATTGGAAAATATGTTGAAAGAACTGTTGAAATGATGTGGTAATCGAAGTCTACAGAAAGCATTCCTGGGGTCTTATTTTACATAGGAGTATACTTTTGTATAAGTTTTTATAAAATACATGGTTTTGTGGTCACAATTTTTAGTTATATCTATCTTTGTTTATCCGTTTATATGTGGTTACCTGTAGTTAGTAGTTTTGATAACGTGGAGGGGGTTTATTGATATCGTTCCCATTTGAATATTCAAAGGGTTTCAGGATTATGTAAAGTGGAGAAGCATGTCCCCTCCATTAGGTGAAATTGTTTATAGTCCGAGTTTCATTGTAAATGTACTGTGGTGTAGGCGGCCACACAGGTGTGCAAACAAATTAAATTTGTTTCACTATACGATCTCCGTTTATCCCTCCTCTCTTTCCTTCTCTAAGGGGTGTATATCACTGTTTTGCTGACCTGAAGTGTGATTATTAGTGCTTTTTCAATGGAGGGTAGGTTAAATAGCTTTTCCTTTTCATTCAATGTTTTTGCAATTTTGCTTGCTTTGGTATAAGCATGCCGATATGGGTAGGGAGGATGGGAAATTATAGCTTCCTCACTCCTCTACAATCAGCCAGTCCTTTTTAACATAAACGACTGATTTATCTGTAAGACTACTGATTACTCTACAATATCTGTGGTAAGACTTCGATTCAGAATAGCTGTTCTTACCTTGAGAATGTAATGCTGGTTTTACGCCAGAATCGTGGGATGTGCTATATTTGCTCTAAAGAGACAAAGAGACAGTAGAGGATTCCTTTTTGCAGCAGAATGCAAGAGCTGTCGCGAGCGAGCAGTTCCATGAATATTACGGATGCTTTCTTGGGGTCACCGACCACCTTCAATATCAGGACCACAAAGATTGTGCCTCCTCCGTCTGGGATCTCGTTTTGCTTCTGAAGCAAGTTAAGGATCATCTCTGTGGCTTTTGTTTATTATACCACTTCAGTGTATTGAACACAAACCTCACAGATTGATCCCTTTCACCTGTTTGCGTACTACAACGTTCTCCCACAGGCATAGCGTGCGCGTGTAGTTGGCGAAATAAGGTGACTTCTTCTTAAATAGCCTAGATTTTCTCAAGGGAGTCTTTACTAGGTCGTCTTGCTCTTTTAGCAGCTTGACTTCAGGGTACTTCTGGTGGTAGATGGTGATTTTGATTATTATACTAGTATTCCGCCAAAGTATCTTCTTTGGAAGTGCCTACTTTTAGTGAGGATTTAGATCCCCCCCCCCCCCCAACCATTTTACGGCAGTGACTAGTGAGTGCTTACATCAGAGTGTGCCTTTTTTGTCATTTGCTTGTCAAGACGACATTGGATTTCTTGTGCAGGTCAATCAATTCTGGTTCTTCGCTTCCCGCTTGAAACGCCTCGCAGCGAGCGGTCTCTGCGGCATTATGTTTCAGACGCTTAATAAACATTTTGCCAAATTGTTCGGTCATGTAGTCACCATCCGTGGCTCTTTGGGCCAGGGACTATTCTTGCCCTAACGCCTGGACTGTTGGGATGGCCTTATGTCAGGTTGCGATCTCTCAGTATCATGACCCAGGTGCGTGGAACACACTCGTGCATGGCGCTGTCTAATCGGTTCAGCCGAAAATGAGAGTACAGACCGATACCATGCTTCAAAATGTATATTTCCGTAATAAAAGGGAGGGGTAATTTTTTCCTCCAATGCAATATTTTCCTTACTAACGTGCGAGTGGTAAAAAATGACTATCAAGTATACTTAAACGACGAATGGTCGCCCAGTGTTCAGAGGCTCTGTTAGTGCGAACTATTATAAACCCCTGATGCGCTTCACCAATTGGCGAGTGGAAGGGACATTACTTGGAAATGAGGACGGGAAGAAGATGCTCGAGTATCTCCTACTGAACAGGTACGTGGTACATCATTTGGCCTGTCCTTCAGCATGTGTGCCCCTGTTTGTAGTGATGCTACCGTGGCTCACTGCATCTTTAGGAACACCTGTCATCGAAACAAACTCTGAAGGTACACCTGAGGGGGGAGGGTGACCAATTTAGTACATACAAGTAGTTTTTATGAATGAGACAACAAAAAGCTTGCATGCATAAGTAGTAAGTGGATTCGATTAGAGGTTGGTTTATAATGTAGGTACTTCAGTATAGTTATTTAAGAAATAAACACTAAAAATGAATAAATCTCAAATAATATTCAACACACATGATGCTTCTAAAACAACAGACTCTGTAAAAATTTATAATGTCTCATGAAATACAATGCTTGAGTACAACATAAAGAAGAGTACGTATATCGTGCATTATACAAAAAAAAACGTCAGTTACAATCTAATTAAAATACATGAGTTAAAGCAATTACATATCCTAAGATTACTTAAAACAAGGCATATCTCTGAGCAGTTGCGTGATTAAGTAAATAAAAGATTTGAATGTTCTTCACATATGTAGTTCATTATAATAAGGCGTTCATAAAACTTGGAAAAATAAATTACTTAACCAGGTTTATTACATATTAAATTATGTCAATACTTTTTATGTAATGTCGTTACAGTACAGTAGTCATATGTACCTGTTCGTTTAATAAAGCATTTATTGCAGCTATTCAAATGTAAGTTTCATTATAATTTGAAGAAGTAGCTATAAGTATATTTCTCTGTAACCATATAATTGAAAACAAAAAAGGCACAAACTTTACAAACAGCACAACCAGAAGTGCAACGAAATGTTGCATATTGTTAATGGATGCGTTTTTTTTGTCTACCACTACATAAGTTATTGATTTGGAAGATTATACATTATTACATAAACGTATAAGAAAAGATCAATATACTATATACACCTAACTTTTAATACAAATTGAGTTGTTTAAAATTTATAAAATGGAACTTTCTCTAAATGCGAAAAACATATTTTATGAGATTCATGAGTTTGTCATGTTACATTCAGTTTTCATATAAAATCACAGTGTTATCAATGTTTATAATCACACTTCAACAATGGTAACGATAAGACAATGAAAACTTACAATGTACGTACTACAAAATGTATTCGCTTATACTCTACAGAAAGCTGCCTAAGACTACTTTATCAGTAGGTATCGGAAAACTAAATCCTACAATGTAAAATAAATAAATATAGGAAATATAACTATCACAATCCCAAGATCAGGTTTAATAATTGCAGTAATAATCTCGTACATTAAAATTAAAATAAATAATCGTTAAATTACTAGAATAATTTTGGAGATTCCAAAAATTATTATTAATCAGTCCTAATAAATGTGACTAGTAACTATCATAATGTTAAAACGTTTCCTAATCGGTAGCGACTTTATTTTTATCCTTCAAACCTCTCGCTACTACCAAGTACTCTGTAGGAAAATCAAATATAACAGTGATGTGAAACGCCATATTTGCCGAAGCCACTACATATTCACAAAAGGCGAACCAGCTGAATGCTAAAAACGAAATCTTGTAGGTCAGTTTGAATATCGTTGCATCTTACCCATATCGTGACATAAATATCTGTGTTCCAAGAAGAAACCTACCAAACCCACTGTACTTATTACGGATACAATAAATAATGTCAGTTTAATTGTGAGAGTTTTTTGAAAATGCCTCAATTCATTTCTAGTTTCTGCAACCTTCTTTGTTGCTGTTATACTTGCTAACATATGCGTGAGGCTGCTTATCATGAAGGTAATAAATAACTTTTCATGAATTGCTAAAAAAAGGGATCTCTTTAGTTTTATTAGAGATTATAGGGAAAGGATTTATAAAAAAAATAGCTACTGAAAATAGTACCACAAATGTAAATATAGTACAGATAGATAATAATCAGTAATCACGATTTAGAAATTGTTCAAGAAATCTAGTGCAAATCTGTTGTTTATTAATTTATTTCCAGATTTATTTATAATAAAAAAAACTAATTTTACCTACTGTAAAAAGTTTACCTAATCCGTCGAGAGATTTACAAATAGCTAGGAAATGGTGTTGAATTTATCCGCTCGCCTCGGCCAAAGCGCTTAATGCAGGCATACAGCAGTTTTTTTTACCACGAGGCGTTTCTAGTAGCCAACTGAATACTAGAGTGAAATATTTTTCTTTTGCCCTTTAAAATAATTTGATCTCACAACTTTCTTGTAGTTGTGTCAAGGATTGGAGTTGCAAGCTAGTTTTTGAACTTGGGAAACGAAGTTTTCAAAAACAAGAAAAAATATAGCTTATGGTCGTATAAGAAAAACCAAACACCCTGTATAAAAACCGTGTATCGTACCATATTCTACACAGAAAAATGCTCTAAGAAAGATTTTGCCAAAATTGATTATCTTCAATAATAAGAAAGTTATGGGGCATTAAGGAAATCTACTAAATTCGAGAAACGAGCCTAGCAGCCAAACGATTACAGATAGCTGAATTCTGTTTGCGCCAGTGATTGTCTTGTTTAAAATTGGGCTCCAGACACCTAGGTCCATTTTTTCGTACCTCTTAAAACAAAGGGTGTTTCCATAAGAATGTGTCCAATTTGGACCACATCTACCTACCTATGTTGCAATTTTACCTTACCATTAAAATAAAACAAAACTATCTACTTTGATTAGGTAAAAATTGTTTCATCCAACTGTACCTACTATTGGCAAAAAATAATTGTTATTATGGATATGGATTAATACTTACGGTAATTTTCCTTATTAGAAATATAGGTAACACCACATAAAGATGCTATTTCAATAATTTCCAACCAAAATGCTATCGACAGCCATTTCCGTGCAGTAAGTTGTACCTACAATGAAACACTTACAAACTGATAAAAATGAAGGCTGTAAAGTATAACATCTAAGTTTGCAGTTGGATTAATAATATTTTCATGATATGCTCTATACACTGCTGCAATTATGAACCGAGGACCAATGTGTAGTGCAACGCTTATTCTCCAAAGATACCTCTGAGGGCTAACACCTGTAATGGCACTAATAGATGGTATTACATTATAAACCTGAAACAATAGTAATTTCACTTGTGAAGCTTGTGTTGTGTGAGGAATCATACACGGCAGTGAGTTTCGTGAACATCCTCTGCTTGGAATATAATAGCGGTTAACAAACAAATCAGTATAGCGACAACTGGGCATGCCATTGTAATTATACAGAGACGTTTAAAACTTAACATAAAGTGTACGACTGATTGTTCTAAAACTGAATTGCTTTTTGGTCCTTGCAGTCCCATTGTGTGCATATTTATACATCAATATTTTTTAGGAATTGTTTCTTGGAAGCGATATTACCCCTTCTATATTAAGGGATGGTAAAATGTTAAACTTATGCTAAAAGATTAACAGTAAGGTTATGTAATGTACAATTTTCGGCTATATACATTACTATTTGTAATCGGAAGTCATCAGTTTTGTTAGTATAGCATCAATTTGGTATAAAAAAATCAGTGCATAAAATATTTACATTCAGCAATGATGCGGTACATCATAAATAGCAGTAAAAAATATTACTGAACGCCATTGCCCTTGATTTTTAAACATGGCGCCAATACAATGCACCATTTTATTCATGTTTGGTTTAAGAAGGGTTTACACATTCATCAATATGTATTTGCGGTTCCTGTCTTGTAGGCGCATTCCTTTGAAGATACAATTCGCGCGATCAGCGACAGTCAGCGGACAACAGCGACAAATTATAAATTGAATAAGTCTTTTAATTATGATAAGTCTACGAAATTCCCTCTGCTACGAGGTTACGATTCTTTTAAAGAAGCATGGTGAGTCGCCACATACCTACCGCCGCCTTCTCGCTCATACCAACACACTGCTTATATGTTCTTACGTTGTCAAGAAACGTATGGACGGCATTTACATTTAATCGAAAATTTTATTTCTATTTATTCTCAGTTACATTCCGGTAAAATAGATTACTCTCAAAAAGAATTAACAACTCCATATCCAATTTTAAATATTAATTGCTACAACAAACTCATAATTCTATTTCAAATTCATTAAAGTAATCGCTCAACTTAAAATAACCTGGTTTGATAGATTTCCAGATATCAAAATTTAAAATTCAAATTGTGAGTAGTACTTTTTAATACATATCTGCTCTGAGAGACCTCATTTTGATGGTTTGGGAAGCTGGATTAACACATTTCAAGTCATATATTATCTTTTACTGGGGAAGATGGCAGGGGTGCTTCTGTACAGATTAAACCTTGTCGTGAAACATGTCTATGGAATTACGTCAAGTGAGTTATCAGACTTGCACTCTCATTTAATCTATTGCATTAAAGGCAGGTGAGGCCTGCCTAGAAAAAGCTACACAGGGCGATTTACATTTTTGTAGTCCTAGTACTACCAGGGAGAGGTGATTTGCCACAAAATTTGGTTTTACGCGTTGATAACTGTAAGTTTTTTATTTTTACCTTGCAAATAATCCTTGTGTGATCATCCTCTTAATTTTCCTAAAATGCATGGTAACTGAGTAATATATAAACAATATTCATTTGAAAGTAAAAGTAAAGTCAATTTGTATTGAGCATTGACAATAGATTGATTGACCTATTAAAGAATTTGATATGTATATTAAAATTTAATTTATTTTAAATAAGAATTTCACGTAAGAATTAATAGCTAGATACTCTTGATTTTATAGGTGTGTTTTCTTCAAGCTCATACTCAATTTCTACCCTTGTTTTCCGTGGCGACTTCTTAGAACTAGGAGTAGTAGGTTTACCTTTTTTCTTTTTGTTTGGTGCATTTGATGTGCTTGGAAGGAACATGTCCTGAAAACAATCAAAGCATATGAAGTTTCTTCAAAAACACGTTTTATTAATTAGGGGTATAAAGGAGATAAAATTATTGACATAAAATGATGCCATTTAATCTCTGTATAAAGGACGAAAGTACTTACCTCAATATCTGATGTATCCGATTCAAAACTGCTATCTAAATCAACCTCTTCTTTCTTACCACTTTCACTATCCTGTAAGGAAAATAAAGAACATGAACATATAGCATATTGTTGGTTATTATTAGCAAGTAGGAGTGGCCGACGAAACCATTCTCATTACCATCTTAAAAACTTACTTGTAAATTGCTTACAAATTTTAAAGTATATTTTTTTTTGTGAAAAATAGGTTTCCTCTTATTGCAAATGAAAAAAAAAACATATTAGGGTATGCATGTAACAGGATTACATTAGCGTTAAAGGTAATTAGTTGTTGGTGCATTAATAAGAGATCTGCAAAAGGGGCATACATACAACGCTCATTGCATCATCTTCATCTGAGAGATCATCATCCGATTCGGCAGCAACGTATTCTGGCCCATCCTCCATTTCTCTTTCCAATTCCAGTTCCTTTTCTGTTTCGCATTCTTCTTCTGATTCAATTTCTTCTTCATTTAGAGCTTTGTCAAATGCAATTTGTGGTATGTTGTACAAGTCTTGGTACTATGAATTTATTTGTGATAACAACAGTTTCAATTATACGACTTATGTAAACTTACCACACCCTTTTTGAGTCTCTCCAACAGAGATTTTTCGACACCTTTCTCAATTCGAGCAGCTATTAAAGCCTTTTCTTCTCGTCTGGTTTCTCGTCTTTCAATTTTACGTTGTAGAGGCACTAATAATTTCCTTAAACAAATTATGGTTACCTACTTGACTATAATAGATGACAAAATCTACTTACTGTCTCCTTAATCTTAATTTTCTCATGCGTATCAAATATTGGGTAATTTTGACGAAACGTTGCTTGCATTTTGATTTTATAAATGTAGGCCAATATAAGAGATTTTCGTTAATTTGATGAATTGCTTTTTCAAAATTTCTTGATAATTTTACTTTTTCCCAAGAATTACGTGGAAATGCCACCCTGCACAATTAAAATGATCATGATAGAAGTTTTTGCACCTTCAACAAGTTGCTTGCAATGGTTCATTCTTCACCAGAAGCTACTACTACCTACCTCTCAGCCGTTTTCATATACAAATATATAATACCCTTTTCTTCACGAATTGTACCATACTGACTATTCGCCAATGGACACGCAGCTCTACCACACAAACCTGTTAGATTATATTCATTTCGGCAGAACCTCTGGGTCTTAGTGCTGTTGAAAAGTGTGTTACTATTAAAATAATTTTATCATCTTTCATACTTGACTTTGTAAGAGCAGAAGGATTTATTGATAATACTCCATACAACCTAAAACGTAGAGAAAATGTTTAATAATTAAGTAAAAAGTATCTAAACATTTCCTTACATCGTCGTGCTGCATTTTGAGTAGTTAAAGTGATGGCAACAATTACCACTGGCTCGTACTTAACCTCACAAAACCACGTGTCTAATGCTCCAATAGTGACTAGTAGACCGCCGCGAAACAAAACAAAAGGTCATAACAGCGTTGCCAATTTTTAGGGATACCGCAGCTGACTCACTATAGATCGACAAGCATGTCAAACTCATTTATCATCATCAAGGGCCATTTTAAGGTTTGCACATACACCTGCGGGCCACATCATAAAAAACTTCTCTTTAAGACAATTTTGATTTTTATTATTAACATAAAAATATACAAAAAATACAATAAATCGAAAAAATACAAGAAAATGTACCGTCTGTCCTATTTTGGTTGAGACTGCAGTGTATATCAGCTGTTTTTAAAGATAAACGACTTGCAGTTTTCGAGACCCTGTGCCACTTTTTTTGTGAAACTAAATACCACAAACACAATCAACCCGATAATTATTTTTGAGGTACAGAGTGAAAAAAGTTTGACTTTTTGGGATGTTCATCATATCTTACTACCGATGTAAGATAGGAAAGAGGTAAAAAACTGCCCTTTTTTTTAGATATTTTTACGTTGAATCAAGTAGCGTTTGCAAGAAGTATTACCATTTCAACTTTTTATGTAGTTGAATACATTTTGTAGATAATAGAATTTAATAATTACTTATAGTAAATAATAAACGTCAAACTATAATGGCAAATGCAGACGCTTCTGTTTGATTTCATAATCCTATTGCAGCGATAGTCCCTAATTCTTAAATTTTTACTGTTTCTGAATTTATAATATTTAGAAAACAATAGTATCCACGGATTCGTAACTTTTTCTCTACAAAAAACCTAAACATACTTTATTTCTAAAATAATTAGGGAAGCCAAGAATCGGAAATTAAAAAATTACTATTAAAATTCCTATGGTGCGTGGTCAAATCACCATCCGGTATATAAAGAGATGCTTACCGAATATTTGCATAACGTACGTCAAATAAGTCGTTGGTTACATAGACCAGTGGTTCCCAACCTTTTACTAACAACGAACCCCCCCCTTTAGATTTTTTTTTCTGGCGAACCCCCAACTTATTCTTGTTCATAATTTAACATTGTCATACTTTCTCTTCTTTGTTTTCATGTCACTAGACTCGCATTTCTTTTTACTAGATTGGGGAAGTGCTACCGCTACGTCACTAATATCCTTTTGTGTGTTACTTCACGATCCGTAACTGATGGTGACGCAGAAATGTCAGGCGGTACCTCATGTTTCTCCTTACTTTGTCTATCGGTCCTAATAATACTCCCTGTCTTCAGCCACTGTTCCATAGTTTGCCTTTGAAGTGGTTTTCCTAATCACTTTCACTTTAAGGTTAAGAGTTAAAACTGTCATGAAGTCAACTGAACCTAGCACTGAGTTGAGAAGTGAAAGAAATATATTGTAGCGCGTTTTTCATTCGTTTACACTCGCATTGAGTGCTGCAATCATGCGCAAACGATTTTAATGGATTTACTCATTAGGGCTATACATGATTTAAAATATCTAAATTTAGCTTAAGTAAATTTATACCGCCATTATCGTTTTTTGTTCTGCGAACCCCTTAGAAAGCGCGCGCGAACCCCCAGGGGTTTGCGAACCACCGGTTGGGAAACGCTGAATAGACCACCCCTGATTTAGAATGTCTTTAAGGCCCGATAAGGTGTCAAGTTGCATTTCGACAAAGAGTAACTAATAATATATTCTCTGATTTCAAGATGAAATAACTTCGATTTATTTCGACATTCACCTATGCGCAGATGAAAAATGTAGTTTACATTCGTAAAAATCAGACTCACAAGGGGCTAATCAATCTGGCTATCTTAAGAAAGTGAAATTTATAAAATTGTAAGTTTCATAATTTCTGTATTTGCATCCCATTTCTCGCCCTGTATATTTGTAACAAAGCACAAGTTCTGGCATTGCAAACCTCCAATCCTATAGCAACCACTGCCAATGTAATTCAAAATAAAAAATTTGTGGTTAAGTTAACTTTTTTAACTAATTAATTTACAAAGTACGATGCTGCGAAATGTGTTATTAAACAACTTTAAAACTCTACAAAGAATATCTATTAGAAGTAAAAGTGAACCAGCAGTAAATATAACAGAACTAGAACGCCAAGAAACTTCCTTCGATGGTTTGTACGATACCTTTTAATGTTGTTTATTATTTTGTTTAAACAGTTGTAGATGACGAAGCTCAAATACGGGAAAAGATAATAGAGGATAAACGAAACAAATCGAGATTAAAGCCACAACATCGTAACATTCTTCAAGATGAAGTCCCATACGCAAATCCTACTTCATGGGTTCACGGTACTTTAAGATATAATCGTACAATGTACGGGCGGTATGGCAGCAAAAGTGGCTTTAATACTTCCCTATGTTGGCCTACCAAAGAAGAATTGGCAGAAAAAAGAGAATATGAACGAATGGCTCACCCATTTACTATTCAGCAAATGGTTGAAGAGGCAAAACAGAAAAAATTGGAAAAGGAAATCCGAATACAAACACGGCAAGAAGACATTATTAAAAAAATGGAAAAGTTGGAGCAGTGGAAATTGGATTTAAAAAGGAAAATCGAGAAGAAGGAATCAGAGGCTTTGGCTGCCAAGCAGAAGAAAGATCGACTTATTGATGAAGTGAGGAGACATTTTGGATATTCCATTGATCCAAGAGATGAGAAGTTTAAGGAATTATTAGCACAAAAAGAGAAAGAACAACAGAAAGCTACAAAGCAAGCTAGGAAGAAGGCCAAAGAAGAAAAAATGCTGGCTACTATTCTGGGAAAAGCTAAAGCGGCAGAGATGTCAGATGATAAGAGTGTGGAGAGTACAAAACCCAGTACAGACTAATTGTTAAATATATTGTATCTCATTAAAAATTTGAATTGTTACTGTCTTATTAACAGCATACAGTTAACCCATGTCACAAATGTACCAATTTTTAAGATTTTTGAATTCTTTTTACTTTCAACAAATTCTAACTTATAAGTAAATAAATTTGATCCAAGCACAATTTTCATAACAGCCAAACTTAAATTATTAACATACACTAATATCTATAATACAACAAAATTTACACTACAATAAGTTATGTAAATGTAGTATGGTATAACAAAACGAAGTAAATGTTACTATCGTGCAGCAGCAGCACCGGCACCATCAGGGTTGGTGGCAGATGATATTACCATTATAATGATCACGGGTATGATATACATCCACTAAAACAAAATTATTACACTATAAACTTTACTTAATCACACTAAACTCACATATTTTGCTAAAAATGACCGATTATCTTTAACATCACCTCTCTCCTTTGCTTCTCTCTCACGCTCCAGTTTGTGAATATAAGTTGCAGTGTCTGGTCTGTAAAAGAGAATCACTCGCCATTCTCTGTAACTGTAAACTTACGAAGGTCCATTCTCAGTGTGTCGAACAAACACGTTTGTACTGAACTCCTTTAATTTGTCAATTGGCACAACTGCACCTTCACAAGTAGATGTCGATGGAACTGCTAAAGTAACTGTAATAACCCTGCCTGAGTAGTCCAACGAAACCGACAGAATGTCATTCAATTCAGATTCTACTAACATACACTGAAAATACATAACTATAGCCATTTTAAACAAACAATCTGGAGGTGTTTACAGCTTTCACAGTCGAGAGAAAGGATACTTGTGATCCATCAGCAAGTGTGACGATCGATTTTAACTGATAAAATTTATTTGTAGCGGCTAAGTCCTGCAACAATATCGTAATGTGACCGAAATAATAAAATATGTTGGTACCCGTAATTTCACTTTGTCACTTTGGGCAAGTGGTTTTTGTTGAACGACCGAAGTTCCCGTTCGTAAACTTTGTATCGTTACATTGCCTCTCTCTGTAAACACCGGATTTTCGGTAAAAGTTAGAGAGTGCTGCAAATTGATGTGAACCCAACCATCATATTCTATATTGCTCTGTAATTTCGTTACTTAAAATGTGTATTTTATGTAAGCCACTTACCGAAAAAGCTAAAACGGAAAAATTAATTAATGCTGACAATATCACGAAGTTTAAATACATTTTAATAGTTAATTAATCGATATCTACATGTACACTTTAATGATCATAACCTATACATTTGGAAATGGGATACGTATCCCAATAAATTTAGAGGAAGTGCCTAGACAACCGCACATATTGTTTTTAATGATACAGGGTGTTTCACAATGAATTGGGTGGTGGGGGCCTTTTTAACTTACATCGAAGGAAAGCGTAAGGCAAACTGCTTTTTTTACCTTATAAGTGTTCAATGTGTGCACCACTCGTCGCACGGGACGCGTGAATACTATATGACATAATATGTACTGTACAGATCCTACTTAGACTCTCTCTACCGCGGTACAGATTGGAACAGGCAATTAACGTTCTTCATTATTTGTAACTATACTACGGCACACTGCGCCGCATCCCTTGACGCAAGATCAAGTTCTACCACCCATACGTACTCACATATTATTACTTATTTGTTGAATAATGACGTTTGTAGGTATAATCACAATCAGTGATCCATCGAAATGGATATGTGTTTGGGAACTATAAAAGAGTTGTGCATTCACCGGATACCTTAGTAAACCACACTTTTAAGGAGATAAATGATTAAAGGGTGCAGTGAGTCAGAATAGAAATAATGCTAAGTGCACATTAAATAGTAATAACTGTTGTATTTATTAGCAAGCAACAAATAAGTAATAATCCGTTGAGCGTTGAAGGCTTCATGGGATAGCGTAATAACTGTAATGCGTTTTGCCGTAGTTTCGTTAGAAATAATGCAGAACGCGTGTTGCCTGTTCCAATCTGTACTGCCGTAGAGATGTAGGATCTCTGCAATAGTACAGATAGTAATTACGCGTACGGGACACAAATCCATATATGTCTAGAATAATTGACTCAACGACTCTTTCAAAATATTTTGTATTATTTCGGTAATAATCAAACTGGTAGTGGAGGTACATTCACTTGATCCTTTATGAACGCCCAGCTCAGAGATAAAAATCGCATTGTATTAAAACTGGTGAACGCGGAGATGGATGGAGTCAACAAATTAGGTAATCTATTGGGGATAGCGATGGTGCTGCAAAGTAAAATAGTCGAATGAAGACCTACGATATTGAGCAAACTGATTGATTTGTTCAAACGAAATCACTGAGTCGAACTGGGTCACTCAGAGTCCCATTGGATGACTGTCTCATTAGATCATTGTTATGGCGGGTTATTGGACAAACGTATAAAATCTGCTTGTTGGTTATGTCTTTCTTGACCTATTTCACATGAAAACATCATTGCTGTCGCCCGCAAATTTCGAGTACCTAACTTGAGCCCATCCAGTTTCGGTAATTTGCTATATCCCGCTTTTTATGTCCAGTTTTCCATGCTTCTATCGTCACTTGTGGTGCGATTGGTTTTTTGGGTTTTGGTAACTTTTCTGTATTATTCGTATGATTCTCTAGGGTTTATTCCGATTTTCACAGTTGAGTATAAAACTGGTGCCACCTTTTTCTGTTGTCGGTTCTTTTAGTTTTGGAGCTTTCGATACAAATTTGCCGATTGGGATAAACTAGACAAAATGGTCAGGGGCCAAAATAGTCACTTAGCAAATTGCCACAAAAGGCAATGTAGATAGGATGGCGGAGAGTATGCAGAGTAATTTCGTACACACAAGCAAATAGTCCATTTTTTTAAAACCTATGCGTAACACTGGGAACAAAGGTACCCAATTGTGGGACAGCGAGCTGCGTGCCACCCGTCAGGCCACGAGACATGTGCGAAAAGGGTACCTACCAGCTCAGTAGGAATAGCGGTACCTCTGAGCAAGTCCTCCGAACCTATACGCGCCTCCAAAAGCATTACAAATACAAAACCTTTAATCAAAACAAAAAAGGCAAACAGTGTCATGGCGGACATAACGAAAAATAACTGCGACAACCCTTGGGGAGCAGTGTACAAAATGGTTAATGTAAATAAAGCAATGCTAACAACCTAATTCCTTGAAACCTACCAGTACCCAGGCGGACCAGTGAATCCACTACAACCGACTCACTAATTAAATTTTACTTTTCACCTGATAGTATAGCGGTGTCGACATAAATCTGCATAAAAACAACACACTAGAATTGACATCAAATGACGACCCAAACATGACCGCAAATGACTCGATATGCATACTCACAAGCGCTAAAGATCACAAGGCCTCGGATCACGACGCCTTGGGATAGCCAATTGCCAAACGAGCAATCCTATAAATTGCCACTTGGTAGCTAAAACTATACAATGCGCGATTTAGGGTAAGCCACTTCCCCGTAGCATGGATAGTAGCCAAAATAGTTTGGCTCCCGAAGACAGGCGGAAAGCGAGTTAGTCCGATCAGTCTGCTCCCAGTACTGGGTAGAGTGCTAGACAAGTGGTGCGCCAATAGGATCAGGTTCTGCATGGAGCGGCGGGGGCGATCTCTCGGAGGGCACGTTCGGTTTTCGCGAGGGGACATCAACCATCGCCTCTATAAACAATCTCATAAACGTCCTGACAACTAACAAACGCAATGGGCTACACCCACAGGTGGTCACCCCGCGATAATACGGACACTTGGGGAAATAGGCACCCCCGCTGCAACTTCCGTACTCCAACAAGCTTTCTTCAGAATCGCACAATTGTAACTGATTCGGAAGTATTCCCCTCACGCGTGGCTGTCCACAAGGCATGCCATAGGATCGATTCTGTGGATCGCCATAATGGAAATCTGGTTCGGGGTCATCAACGTGCTGGAGTGTGCGTTGTTGTCGACCAAAGCCATCGCGTTTGCTGATGACCAAGTGTTGGTGCTGGCGAGCACTTCGGCTAAAAAAATCGAGGCTGATGGCTGGCGCTGTGTGGCATGCTTGCGAAACGTGGGCAAACGAGAACCACGGTGAATACAATACGATTAAGACTGAATGTATTTTCGTCCCGAGGCTAGAAGGCGTCCGCGGTGAGATTATAGGTATTTATAAAAATTTTTGTAAGAATGCATTTTAGGAACACTACACATTTACTTTTTTATATTCCAATTTTGTTTTTATTTTTTTCTAGTGTTATTTGAACAGATACAAAAAATATAAAAAATGTTTTAAAACCCGTGTAACCAACTGTAAATGATGCTAAAAACACTTGCTCATTTGAGCTCTAAAAGACAGCGTTTATTTTTTTTTCATTTTGGAGAAATATTCAACTTTATTTTTATATCATAGCCCTTATATATTGTAACGGAAACGCTCCAGACATGACGTCGCCTTTGGCGCTCTGGAATTTTCTACGCACGCGATAGTGGGATATGTATAGGACTCTATATCTAACTAAAATAACCAAACCAATTCGTATTTCCTGTGCCGCCGTGGATAGAAGATAAGTTTTTATCGGTTCAGTTTGCTAAAAACTTCGCCAGGGGGATAGTCAACATTATTCTCTTTTTAGCACCGTGATGGGGGAAAGAACTTTATTTGTCTTATCTTTATTGTGAACGATACATGAATAATTCTTTCCCGTGAAATATTTATGCTCCCATATACGAGGTTCCCTTGACCGCGACACCTGGGACGATCGGGTATCACGGGACCTCAAAATGTCATTTATAGACCACGTGAAATATGTAAAGGAGAGAGCGGCCAAGGTGTCAGGCCCAGGCCGAGTACTCACAATTGCGGGAAAGGATTCGGGAGCTAAAGAAGGGTTGTTAAAAACATGCATCTTCATGCACTACGGCCGGCAATCTTATACGGTGCCGAGGCATGGAGCGCTCGCAGTAACGTCTCTCGAGTTTAGCGTTTAGGGCAATATTGGACTCGGTCCAGCAGCAATTTCCCCTCCAAGTCACGAGAGAGTATAAGTAGTACAACTCTCACGTGGACCCCCGAGCTTCTAATCCAACATTCCGCCACTGTACTTGGAATCAAAGCGAATCTATGACACCTACGTCGCTGTGGCGGGTGACGGAAACGAGAAAGCGCCATTGCCGGTTTAAAGAGCCCCAAGGGCGGATATGGGGTTACTGCAGGGACTACACTCTGAAATAAACACACTGCGAGTAGGTACACGTAGACGGGTCACAATAACATCTGCAAGTGCCGCTATAGTTGTCATACAATGTTCCCCACAAGTGAAAGTGTAATAGAGGTAGCGGATCTCTCACAACATGCTGCAATCCACCAGGCGGAAATAGATGTAGTCCAGCTTGCGCTTTCCTAGACGCTAAACAGCAAACGAGATGTTACCACTAAAACCGATTCAAAAAGGGCTATAAGCGTAATTGTGGCATTTAAGCACATACGGCGCAAATAAATACAATCCAAGAACGCCTGGTGGACTTACACATCGCAGGTATTTCAGTAACACTAGTCTGGGAAGGGAAAGGGACCGGGTCTCGAGGAAGCAAACTCGTAGACACCTCGGTCCAAAGGGCAATAGTATGTACATGTGAAATAGACGACCGGCACACAACCAAAATTCGTATCGACAGAGCAAAGTGCTATGACGAAGAATAAAATAACACAGGTTGAAAGAGGCACGCTGTCAAATATTATCATCGCGGGACCAAGCCCATGACAAGTAAGGAGGAAATTCATCTAACAAAACACATTTTCACCAATCCAAGGGAAAGCTGAAGTCCCCGCTAATTTTTAGGAGTGTGGGCGGTTGGATGTGGATTCCCTTGTCTGTAGTCCCGATAGATGGGGAGTTCGGTACAGCCAGTAATATAAGGGTAGGCGGGCTGAGTTCGGGTCTCCATAATGATTTAACTGTCGCCCATATTCCGAGTACCTAACTTGAGCCCTAGCTTGAGCCCATCCAGTTTCGGGAATTTTTTATATCCCGCTTCTTATGTAATTAGTCCTGTTACCGTTTTTGTGGTCACGATTGCGACTGGTTTTTTGGGTTTCGGGAACTCTTCTGTATTACATAGTTCCCATAGATGCCTCTAGGATTGATGCCGGTTTTAACAGTTCGGTATAAAACTGGTGTCGGTTGTTTTAATTTCATTTTGGTAGCATATACTTTCTATCCATTTGCAAATATTGGGCCATTATAGGTACTTACTTGGTTTAAGGGTCGCACCGGTCGCACCTAA